GAGAGAGAGAGAGAGAGAGAGGTTTAACGTCCACTCGACACAAACTAGGCCATTTCGGGACTAACATATGGTCCAACTTTATTTCCATAATTCGCGTGCGCGTAGGGGTCTTTAGCAGTGGGAGGAAACCGGAGGACCCGGAGAAAACCCACGAGGTTGGACAGGCGACCCTAGCGGGGATTCGAAACCACGCCAGTTGACTCAATGATACAGCGCACACGTTCTAACCACTAAGCCATCCAACCCCCCCAGTTGAACTTATATATAAATGCTTGTTTAATGGCGATAAATTACATGGAAGTAAGTTACAAGGGTTTTAATTAATTTGTTTACGTTTTTATCAATATTAAAAGGCCCCCTGCATGGCCTGATTTTCAACCCTTTGAAAATAAAGTTATTATTATTATTATGAATATGGTACACTGAACCACTGGAACTGGTGTAGTTTGATATTACCTTTTTAATCTACCTAGACTGATATTAGTATCCAGATGTCAGTAACCAGTCAACGTGTATAAACAGACGATCAGTTTAAACTATTAACTCAGGTGATAATTATAAACAAAAAGAATTAGTTAACAGGTATGTTTCATCTGGTTTTATATTAAAGGAGATGTACCATCTGTTTCTATATTAAAGGGGTGTGCCCCATCTATTTCTATATTAAAGGAGATGTACCATCTGTTTCTATATTAAAGGGGTGTGCCCCATCTGTTTCTATATTAAAGGAGATGTACCATCTCTTTCTGTATTAAAGGGGTGTGCCCCATCTGTTTCTATATTAAAGGAGATGTCCCATCTGTTTCTATATTAAAGGAGATGTACCATATGTTTCAATATTAAAGGAGATGTACCATATGTTTCTATATTAAAGAGGATGATCCGTCTGTTTCTATATTAAAGGAGCTGTTTCATGTGTTTCTATATTAAAGGAGATGTTTCATCTGTTTCTATATTAAAGGAGATGTACCATCTGTTTCTATATTAATGGAGATGTCTCATCTGTTTCTATATTAAAGAAGATGTACCATCTGTTTCTATATTAAAGGGGTGTGTCAGGGGATGATCCGTCTGTTTCTATATTAAAGGGCGGGTCCCATCTGTTTCTATTTTAAAGCGGTGTCCCATCTGTTTCTATATTAAAGGAGATGTCCTATATGTTCCTATATTAACGAGGGTGTCCCATCTGTTTCTATATTAAAGAGGGTGTCCCATCTGTTTCTATATTAAAGGGTGTGTCCAATCTGTTTCTCTATTAAAGGGGGTGCCCCATCTGTTTCTATATTAAAGGAGATGTCCCATCTGTTTCTATATTAACGAGGGTGTCCCATCTGTTTCTATATTAAAGGGGATGTCCCATCTGTTTCTATATTAAGGGGTGGGGGTCCCATCTGTTTCTATATTATAGAGGGGGGGGTGTCACATCTGTTTCTATATTAAAGGGAATATTTATCCGTATTAAAGGTGGTGATTCAACCGTTTCGTTAATAATGGAGTTGTTCTATAATTTCCTCTAACGGACCAATTTTGAGAATGCAAAAGCCATATGTGTTACATCATGAGAAAATACACATTTTTAAAACCCTGCTATAAACACTCAACTCTCTACATGCATATTTGAAGAAACACATGTACTATTTATCTTGACATGCTATAAGGTCTAATGACTAATACTGTATACCACAGGAAACCAATTTCCTTTTTCTAAAAACTGTGAAAATTCTTAAATTTGATTTTGTCAGAACGATGTTATTAAGTGGTTTTGACACCCAGCCGTCGATGAAAAATGATAAATACAGACGAAGACAAGCTCGATTAAATAAATATAAAAAGAGTTGTCTGAAGCACGTGCCTAGAAAATGACGTAAATATTTAAACTTACTTACATCTGACAGTGTTTCCTCTTATTTATTCTAATCGACCGTAGAATTGGGAATAAATCAACTATGTTAAAGGAGCTACCTCTCTAACTCAGTGGTTCTCAACCTTTTTGTCAATGGCACACCTTGGACCATATGAAAAAATAGCGGCACACCTGGCTAAATATATACAAAAAATATTTGAATTTTGTAATATAAAAACATGGCAAGTCATAGACGACACAAACTATAGCCATAGACAAAAACACAGCTATGAACTTATTTCATTGCGGTGTTTCGAATTTCATCAGTCAAATAGCTGGCTTCTTTAGTGAGAAATTTTCTTAGTGTGCCGTTCAAAATTTCGCGGCACACTTAGGAAGATCTCGCGGCACACCTGTGTACAACGGCACACTGGTTGAGAATCACTGCTCTAACTCAATATTTTTCATAATATTCGAAATTAAAAAAAACAAAAACAAATTAGAATTCAATACCGGTATTAGTGTTTTTATGTTGCCATGAAAATGCGGGATCCTAATATCCAGTATTTACGACACAATGAACGTTTTAAAATATGGTACACAGGTCGTGTACCATATTATTTCGGGCGCAAAACCAATGAACAAAGAAACACATATCCTAAATTACAATGCGACAGTAAATAGTAATGGCTGATTCACAAATAATAATAATAATATTAAAAAAATAAACGTGAAGTATAGGCTAATTAGACGTAAACGACTGCCGTTCAGTATGGACTGTTCGCGTATTTCACCGAACATAATTGATTAGAAATTACAATTTTTTTAAAAAAAAACATTGAATATAAATCACTTTATATACACTCATATTACATTAATATGTGCTTTAACACCTATTTATGGTTAAAAAAAAAATAGAGCCATACGCCCTTTAATTCGGTTTCTTACAAATATAGGTCAATTGGAACGCAATGTGTGATTTTATACGCCACTTACAGTCTGCTCATAGGAGTCCCCCATTCTACACACCGACAACTATCTACTTCGAGATTTGATCTCTGCCCTAAATGACCGCCATATCCAACAATTTGTATTCTATTTTGTAATGCGGTTTTACTCCGTTTATTATGTGCCAAACATACAAGGACTAAATAAACCTTTTCAATGATATCACATTGAAGCGGAATAAATATTTCTCAAAATTATCCAATTATGGTTAGAATTTTCAATTAAACTCGTCGATTTTGGAATTAAAATGTCGGTCAACCAATTTAGTGTCAGTCTGGTCTCAAGCGGAGCTAATTGTAGGCAGACCGTGTACGTTCAGTATGAGGTTTCTCTTCACCGGTGACGTAGTGTTGATGGCCTAGTCGTTCGGAAGGTGCGAAAAACCAAGGTTTCGTGTACACGTTGGTGTGCGTAAAATAACCCTTGACAGTTGGAATAACAATAAGTAAATGTCCGATTCTAGAAGCATACTCTGCTTCGTACACGACACCCATCACTATTGAGCAATATTGGAAAGCAACAACATTTGTAATATCATAAACTTTCGCCACTTGATAATTCCAGATTTTTTTCTTTAAAACAACACATAAAAAAAAAGATGTGAGAGAGAAATGGTTTAACGTCCACTCGATACAAACTAGGTCATTTCGGGACTAACATATGGTTTAATTTTATTTCAATAATTCGCTTGCGTGTAGGAGTCTTTAGCAGTGGGAGGAAACCGGAGTACCCGGAGAAAACCCTTGATGTTGGACAGGCGACCCTACTCCTTGTCACGTTCAACCGAGGAATGGAAACCACGCCAGTTCACTCAATGATACAGCGCGCACGTGCTAACCATTCGGCCATCCAACCCCCCGAAAAAAGACGTAATTGACAAACTAAAAAAGAAGAAAAAGAAATTACTAAAAGAAGAATGATGGCGTCGTCGATCTTAATTCTATCAATTTTAAAAGGATTTATATTGACCGGGATGCAATTGAGAAATTAGATTTTTTAAAGATCAATTACGATAATGCGGAAAGAACTGATTTTTTGTCTGAACTGCATCAAGTTCAGCCATTTATTAACCACATGTAGAACTCCAGCTGGTGTTTCTTTTAAAGCTAAGGAGCCGTGGTGACTCGGTGGGTAGGACGTTATTTTGCTAACCTGGAGCGGGGATGGATGGCCGAATGGTTAACGCGTGTCCGTTGTATCATAAGGTCTTCATTTAGTCAGCTGGCGTGGTTTCGCTTCCCCGGTTGTACGTGACAAGGAGTAGGGTCGCCTGCCCAACCTTATTGGTTTTCTTCCCGTCCTCCGCCCCCACCCCCACACACTGCTAAAAGATTCCTATGATGTGAAAGCGAATTATTGAAATAAAATTGAACCATATGTTAGTCCCGAAATAAAATTGAACCATATGTTAGTCCCGAATTGACCTAGTTTGTGTCGAGCGGACTTTAAACTCCATTTCTCCCCACCCCACCCTCCCCCAGTTTGTGTCACTTACAAAACCTTACCAATTGTTCGGGTGGGACAACAGTAGCCCCGATTATCAAGAATACTTAATGTTCATTTATGTCTTTTTCACCCGGGAACCAATAACCCTGATTATGACGAATATTCAGTGTTCATTTAGAGCTTATCGCAAGTGAAACGATAGTCTTGATTATCACTAATACTCAATTTTCATTTATGTCTTATAACTAGGGATACAGTAGCCTTGAATATCACTAATACATAATGTGCTGTTGTGTCTTTTCACCAGGACAACAGTAGCCTTGATTATCACAAATACTTAATGTGCTTTTATGTCTTTTCACAAGGACAAGATTAGCCTTGATTATCACTAATACTTAATGTGCGTTTATGTCTATTCATAATGTAGCCTTGAATATCACTAATACTTAATGTGCTTTTATGTCTTTCCACAAGGACAACGTTAGCCTTGATTATCACTAATACTTAATGTGCTGTTAGGTCTTTTGACAATGATAACAGTAGCCTTGATTATCACTAATACTTAATGTGCTGTTAGGTCTTTTGACAATGATAACACTAGCCTTGAATATCGTTAATACATAATGTGCTTTTATGTCTTTTCACAAGGACAACAGTAGCCTTGATTATCACAAATACTTATTGTGCTTTTATGTCTTTTCAGTATAGAAGACTGGAATTCGAGATGGATACCTCTGACGTCATCTGTGATCACCCTTTATTCACCGACGACAATAATCATACAATAGAGGAAGTAAAACTACGCTTGAGTGAATTAGAGGACAGGGAAGCCATTATGAAATTACCCGCCATCTTGTTTATCGGGATATTGTTGCTCATTGGACTTATGGGTAATTTCCTAGTGTGCGCAGTTTATCATCTTAAATTCCCGCCAAGTACCTCAAAGTATTTCATCATGACTCTCGCCATTTTTGATCTTTTGAACTGTACCATCGCCATTCCTGCAGAAATGGCCGATCTCCGTTTTGATTATCATTTCAATTCTCCGGATGTATGCCGAGTCATGCGCCTGACGATTAGCTTCAGTACTTCCGCCTCGGCCGGAATTCTACTTGCCATAGCAACGGATAGATACCGAAAGATATGTCATCCGTTTGAAAGACAAATGAACTCACGCGAGACAAAACTTGGAATATTCCTCGCCATATTTGGCGCGTTAATGGTGTCGTGGCCAGCAACTCTACTCTACGGTCGCAGTACGCGAATAATCGAAGGTGTCCGAGTGGCAGATTGTGCGTTTGACGATAGTGTGCGCAATACGTGTTATCCTCAAATCTATATAGCTATATTAACCGCCATGTGTCTGACGTCAATGGGAGTGCTGATTGTTCTCTACACGCTGATTATTTTACGTGTTTGGAAGCAGAAGAAACTCCGGGCGCGGTTCCAATCACCTGTGGTCAACGAACCCGTCAACAACGTCCGATGTGATTGTTTCAAAAAGTTGAATTGTTTTGACAGCCTGGATTCTAGAAGCGCGAGCACGGAAGTCGATATTTATAACGTGGATCAAAGCATGATGGAAGAAAAACGGAAGTCGAATTCAAGCCAGAATCACAGTGTTCGGACCACTCTAATGTTGTTATTGGTTACAGCGGTTTTCATCATCAGTTTCATTCCCTATTTCGCGCTACAGATTTTGAAAAACGCAGTGACGAACTTTGAACAAAATCTCCATTGTAATCACGTTGCCATGGTAGCATATAAATTTTTTCTTCGTTCGTTCTTCATAAACAGCGCGGTTAATCCGATCATCTATTCATTCTTCAATACGCAGTTCCGTTTGGAGTGTAAGGAGTTCCTGAAACGCGTCTTCTGTTCTCGTGGGTCAAACTGTTCCCGATCATCAGACTTAAACGAACCAATAGACAACGCAAATGTACCGGAAGTTACGAAATACCAAAAGGCCGAATCAACTGTGTTTTAATGCTAGTACGTCTAATGCTGAGGATTGTTTTTTCATCAAATAATAGGCCTAATTTTCAAACAATATCATCGTGACCTGGTAAAATAAAAAGTTGGTGTGGTGTGCTGTGTGTTCTACATTGCAAGTTGTAGACCTGTACCATTCGATTTCATTACAATCTGATAAAAACACAGATCCTATTTCGTTTCGTTTGTTTGTACAGTTCAAAATTTACTACACTAGGATCTGGAAGAGTTGTTATATAACATGTGTCTGGATGATGTGAGGGATTGGCCAATGAAACGGTTTGTTATGGCGAGTTTTTGGCGTGAGGTGCACGGAACTGTGAGTAACCCACTAGAAACATCAACGCTGATTGGTCAATCAAATGTCTGACGTCGTAGGGTCAATAGCCGCTTGTATGACCTCTGACGCGACCTTGCACTACAAACCGGTCAGATCTTCATCGAAAGTATAATAAACACGAAACGAAATATATATCTGTATTTAAATCATCTTCAATAGAAGGCTTGATCTCGCTTTAACTACGTACATCTTATCGAGGCCTTCACGTAATACCCTGCATATTCGGTACTAATTTCGACTTGGTATTCACCCAGCTTCTGAGTCTATCAGATTCCTCGATCATCGCGAATACCAAGTCTCGCCCTTTCCGGCTAAAATGTCTACCTGTGATAATCGAGTTGCAAAGTTCAAGGTTCGTTCAATGTCAAGGTTTCCGTGGAGGTCGCTATGCCACAACCTCCTCTGATTGGACACTACTGTTCACGTGTCTGCAGCTAACCTAGCTATAAGTTGGGGAATTGTAAAACTCGCAGTCGTTATCCCAGGAACATGTATTTTAATGTTGCTCCAGGAACATGTATTTTAATGTTGCTCCAGGAACATGTATTTTAATCAGATTGGTTTTATTACTAAATTCAATGTTTTAGACACACAGTTATAAACCATCGCTTTGTACCAGACAAATGCATTTGTTTAGACTTTAATAAAATGCCAGAAGGGCAAAGTTGACGATGTCCATAAAAGTTATATTTCAGCGCAACCCTTTGTGACATATGTCACGTCGTAATCAATCACGTAACTAGTTCCCACAATCAACTCCAGTCCATAATGCCCTACAAAATAGAACATTTTCTAGCTGGTCGGTCACCTCTGGCTTGTGCTTGTGGTTTCGATCCCTGGTGTGAGCGTATGTGGCTTGGAGAAAGGGACGCCTTCTCAACCTCGTGGGTTTACACCGGGTACTCCGGTTTCCTCCCACAGGAAAGATCCATGTGCGTGCCATGAGATAATAAAATTTAAAAAGAAACTTGACTGCAAAATCACCTTCGATGGAAGCAGGCGTTCAATCTACGAACAACGCGTTCTATTTCTAAAACCCACCGGAGATTCACAAGTTGAAAACAAAGAGAGAGAGAGAGAGAGAGAGAGAGAGAGAGAGAGAGAGAGATGGGGTTTAACGTCCACTCGACACAAACTATGTCATTTTGGGACTAACACATGATTCAATTTTATTTCATTAATTCGCCTGTGCGTAGGTATTTAGCAGTTTAAGAAAACCGGAGGACCCGGGGAAAACCCACAAGGTTTGACAGGCGACCCTACTCCTTGTCACATACAACCGGTGAATCGAAACCCCACCAGTTGACTCAATGACAGACATTTTGAAACAACGCGCACCTGAAATATAAGATACTGTTTAATGCACAGGGCCTGGTTTGGACAGCTGTCTAGTCGTTCGGAGGAGACGAAAAATCGAGGTCCCGTGTACACATTGGCGTGCATGTAAAAGATCCCCTGACAACTGCAATTCGATATAAGAGTAGGTCGTAGTGCCGCTGTCCGGCGTATGCCCGTCTTCATTAGCTCAGTTCGGAGCAGAACAGTAGGACGTTAAACCCCATTTCATTTCATTTCATTTCATTTTGTTTCATGCACGCGTTCATCCATTCAATCACCAAACCCCTACAGACATAGCATAAGCGTAGTTAGGTATACTGCGGGAGGGGAAGGGCAGGGGGCAGGGGGTGGGGGGTAGGGGACACTGGGACTGTATATTAAAAAGATTCAAACACCAAACCTTTACAGACATTGTATAAGCGTATTTAGGTATACTGGGGGGGGGGGCGAGGCCACTGGTGCCGGATATTAAAAAGATTCAATCATTTACATTATATGATTAAAATTTTAATCAAGGAAAATGATTTTCCGAACAGATAAAAATAAAAAACTAGACTAATTTCATTTGACTTTATACTGATTGGTCACCATAAACTTTGGTTAATTCTTCTAACATCGTCTTCTTCTCCTTATCAGTAGAAAAACTTGATCTAGCAGCATTAAATATCTGGGGAAAAATACATAAAATAATATGTCAGGGCTAGTGGGAAACTTGACCTAGCAGCATTAAATATCTAGGGAAAAATATAAATGAAACAGAAATAAAATACTAAGCAGCAAAAGAAACGTCAGGTTGGTATGTTACTCTGAATAGATGCATTGCGTAAAACTTGCCAAATGTTTTTATTGTATATTTGTGACCACATCTCCAACTTTACATGAGCAATAAGGCTCCTTCCCAAACACAGAATTGAAACTAGGAAATGTTTTCAAAAACACAACCTGACTTCTGAGATGGTAATGTGTTCTCCGTGATTTTCATGTAACTCATGCTGCACGTGATGAAATAAATCACTAATGTGTCAACATTTGCTCCATTTAGTAAATCGTTTTCTAGAATGATTTGATTAAAGTGCCTCTCTGATTTTGAAATCGTACAGACGTTTTTTGGGGTTTTATTTTGCTGTTTAGTACACAATAGGGCTGATGGAAAACATGTTCTTGTAGCATACGCCATACAGTGTGCTATGAGGGAAACGTTTGCCCGGCCAGCGGCACCATGGCCTATACTCTTATATCGAATTCCAACTGTCAAGGGATCTTTTACGACTAGACAGCTGTCCTTGTCAGACCGTCCGCCTTACCCCAGTGACAAGGGGAAACCACGTCGGAAAATCCCTATGAACTTTCTCGGTCAATGCAGGGATCGAACACGCAACCTCTAGGCTAGTGGGCCAGCGTCTTACCCACTTAAGTCACCGTAGCTCCCAGACGAGACAATAAGAAGTGTTATAGAATGTTCTAGAAGGAGTGGTCATGCGTTTAAGATAGTAGTATACCTGATCATTTTGACCAATATCTGTAATGTTATTACATTTACATGTAAGAGGCAGAGTATGTACAGTCTTTCTAGAACACTCGAAATAATTTCTCACTTGAGTTCAAAATGTGATCAGGGGCTCAGTAAGTAGGTGGATGGCTCGTTAACCTGTGGTACAGGAATGTGGTCCTGGTAAGGGATAGTGTATAGGTGTTCGAATGGAACAAAAAAAACCACGCCCCTTGTGCACATTGCCGTGCACGTAAAAGATCACACCAACTACACTGACATTGCAAGCAACACACATTAAATGGCTTGATTTAAGGTGGGGTGGAGTGGGGGTGGGGTGGGGTGGGGTGGGGTTTGTGAGCTAGACTTTAGTATGGATACAATCAGTTATACATTAGGTATTTGCTTGATAGCGACGTGTGAAAATCTTGCTGAAACGTTTCAGTATAATAAACCAAGTTATTTTATCCATACTAAGTGTTCTATCAATAGAGGAATCAATTAGTACTTACAGATTGTATAATTTGTTGTCTGGTGAGACCCATCTCCATGGCAACATTATAATCATCTAGTATATTATTATCTAATACATTAGGATCGTCTGTACTGATGGAAAAGTTGACGCCATCTTGAGCAAGCCTACAATTATATAAAGTGCCGTCTCGGAGTAACATAAATGGCGGTCCTGGGAGGCTCACACTAATAGCAAATGGCAGTCCTCAGATATTGGGGCGGGACACACACTAATGACAAATGGCGGCATTGCGGGTGGGGGAGGGGTCTCAAACCAATAGCAAATGGCGGCCCTGCGGGTGGAGGTGGGGGGTCTCATACTAATAGCATTTCAGTATCAAACAGGTGAAGTAACTGGTTAAACATATTCCAAATATGATTTTAACACAGCGACTGTGCCTACGTTGGATACGTAACAACGAAATTAAGGACACCTGCAGATTTCGTCAAGATCACGAGATTGAAATAGGGTTAAGGCACGTGATTGTTGACCATATTGCGGGCTAGGTTACGGGTTAGGGCTATAATTAGGGGTAGAGTTAGCGCTAGCTCTGTTTACGTCTCGTGACCTTGACGAAATCTACAGGTGGCCTTAATATTTAGACCTAGCCGTGCAATGTGTGAGCAGATGAAATGGAGGTCGTTGGAGGCTCAAACGTAAAAGCATCTGTTCTGGGTGGGCGCTATCTTTAAAGGACAATATTAGTGTCCACTCATATTACATAACTGGCGGTTGACCCGGCGTAGCACAGGTATAACCATAAAACGGAAGTAGCATAGCTCGGAAACCGGAAGTGCTATGCCATCCCCAGTACGAGCTACAAACGACGGTCACCCATATTTGAACGGATAGATGTGACAGAACTGATTAAACACAATACAAATATAATTCTAACATAGAGATCATTAGTACGGTTGGTAAGTAACAACATTTTAAAGATTCGAGAAGCGACAAAAAAAAAAAAGAATGGTAACAGAAACGTAGCCTATCTGAGATCTTAACCTCCTCTGAGGAAGCACATCCTATTGTTCTGCCCCTACTGGGCTAATGGATGACGGGCGTACGCCATACGCCATAACATATGGTTACATTTTATTTCAATAATTCGCATGCACGTAGGGGTCATTTAGCAATGGGAGGAAACGGGAGGACACGGAGAAAACCCACGAGGTTGGACAGGCTACCCTACTCCTTATCACTTACAAGCGGGGAATCGAAACCACGCAACTTGACTCAATGAAAGACCTTACGATACACGGCGCAGGCTATAACCATTCGGCCATAATGTATTTTTGACGTCACACACACACATTACGTAGGCTATGATAATAGACAGTTATTAAACCGGCAATGTGCGTTAAATGTACAGGAAATGGACGTTATAGGGATGGTTATTTGTGATAGCTATTTTAAAGACTTTTGTAATTAGTATTATTAACATGGAAATATTCCTGTCTGGTCCAAAATTACTGTTTATATACAGTCAATTGTTGTCGACCTGAGTTAGCTTCCGTTTACAAATTAATAGGGGCGTGTAAAATCATCTTCATGATCATTCTGCACGCACACAAAGATCTGCCCTGAATGGCCGCCATATACAAAAATTAGCATACGATTTTGTAATGCGGTCCTACTCCGTTTCACACCTGTCATACACACAAAGAACAAATAATGGATGCGGAATAAATATTTCTCAAAAATCTCGAAGTATACATAGCGTTTTCGACTAAAACCGTCGAATTAGGACTTTTAATGTCGGTCAACTAGCTAAGTGTCTGTTCTCAACCGGAGCTAATTGTAGACAAACAGTCTAAGTTTAGTATTCTTCACGATGTCTATGTTTGTTTACCTACTCAACGGTAAATTGGATGTCAGCGATAAATTGGATCCAAGTTGAGTCCAACATGGCCGCCGTATATAATCATTATTATTATTATTATTTCTTAAAATATTTTGTTCATAAATTGAAAGGGATTGGGGAATAGACATAGCCCATCTGACCCCTCTCCTCTTTCCTAAACCTAACCTACAAATAGACTTATTAATATGCGGGGCGGCCATTATAGGGCTCAACATGGGTTCAATTTACTTTTTAACTATCTTGATATTCTTCTTTGGATTGGTGGCGCCAACTGATGTGAATAAATGTCCAAATAATACTTTGTATAACATGCAATAGGAAGATTTAGCTCTTGAATAATGCATCTTTCATCAGATTCCAATACAAATTCAAACAGATTATTATTACATTTGCCTAAGTGAGATAGAAATGTAAATTTTGAATGACCATCATTCAAGTTACAACTGGTCGATTTGAGTTATTTTTGCACCAGATAGGGAAAGTTTGGCTTTAAACTTGATTTTTAACCATTATTCCGACATGTTGGAACAACAATAAAATGAGCAGTAATATGAGAGACAGAGAGAGAGAGAGAGAGAGGGAGAGAGGGAGAGAGAGAGAGTATTTCAATAATTCACTTGCGCGTAGGGCCCTTTAGCAGTGCCGGACTGGTGGGCCAAAGGCCCACCTGTCAGGTCATTGACCAAGGCCCACACAGGTACGTACTGAAGGAGCGTCACGAGCGCGCGAACGTCCGAGGGGGGTCTGGGAGGGGGAGGGGGTTCTCCCCCTAGGTAAATTTTGAAAAATGACAACCCCTAACCCATTTTCCAAGCATTTCAGACCAAAGCAGAAGAAGGCAAATTTTTGATTTCCTGATACAATTAGATAACAGAATGACCTAAGAACACTATCATTAGATGAATTTGAGAACTCTCTTCAGTGTCAAAAACAAAAACCTTTTATTCTCCGTGATGAAAATAATGCAAATTATGATATACATACAGTACACGTATTTGACAGTTCTGTTGACGCACATCACAGAATATAGCGAGAATCTTCGAACTCACAGAAGTAAACGAATATCATCATCTGGTAAGTTTTTGGCGATTATTTCGGCGATAATGACTTATGAAGAACTAAGTAGAAGTTAAAAGATGAATTAAACGGTTCTCGGTATAATGAGGTCAAACTCATAAAGTTCTTTACTTGTAGTACACTTCTTTTTTGTGTTGTTTGTCAGTCATTTTTTTCCTATCTTTTCTTTCTCCTGTCCAGTGTCCTGTCCTCTCATTCCTTCTTTTCTTTCCTCCCCCTCTCCTTTCTTTCTCTTTTCTTTTTTCTTTCTCTTTTTTCTTTTTTCTTTATAGGCTTAGGCCCACTTTTTTTTTAATGAGCTTAGACCCACCTGTCACGGACAGGTGGACAGGTGGGCCCAGTCCGGCACCGCATTTTAGCAGTAGGAGGAAACCGGAGGACCCGGAGAAAATCCAGGAGGTTGGACAGGCGACCCTACTCATTGTCACGTACAACAGGGGAATCGAAACCACGCCAGTTGACTCAATGACAGACCTTATGATACAAAGCGGACGCGTTAACCATTCGGCCATCCAGCCCCACCCCACCCAGCAATATTAGATAATTACTATACCTTGTTATAGGATGATTGATTTTGCCATTCGGAGCACCTCCGGTCAGTAAACTGGAAATGGGACAAGTTTCTAGATGAATTCTCTCCCCTATCACTCGGCTGTACAAGTCTGGATTGTTTATACAGCTGTATCCGTGACCAATTCTTTCAGCATGCATATCATCAAGTGCCTAATATGGTAATATAAACATTCAATTAACTGATACCAAGTGCCTTTTATGGTAATATAAACATTCAATAACTGATACCCAATGCCTCATATGGTAATAACTGATACCCAGTGCCTTATATGGGAATATAGACATTTAATTAACTGATATCTAGTGTCTAATATGGTAATATAATTATTCAATAACTGATACCTAATGCCTTATATGGTAATAACTGATACCTCGTGCCTCAGTCAGTTACTGATACCTACTGCCCTATATGGTAATATAAATACCCAATAACTGATACTTGGTGCCTTATATGGTAATAGTAAACATTGTATTAGCTGATTTCTATAGTGACTTATAAGGTAACAGTAAACATTGTAATAGCTGATTTCTATAGTGACTTATAAATAATACCTTCTGCTCCGACGGGGCTAATGGAATGAAATAAAATGAAATGGGGTTTTACATCCTATTGTTCTGCTCGGACTGAGCTAATGAAGACGGGCAGCGGCACTATGGCCTACTCTTATATATCAAATTCCATCTGCCAAGGGATCTTTTACGTGCACATCAATGTATACACGGGACCTTGGTTTTTGATCCCATCCTAACGACTAGACAGCTGCCCTTGTCAGGCCAGGGCTAATGAATATAAGCATTAGCCATTCAGTGTGCTATGAGATGAACTTTGCCCAGACAGCGGCGTATCTGTCTACTCTTCATCAAATTACAACTGCCATGGGATCTTTAATATACAAACCGAGGTGTATACAGGTTTTTTGTCTCTACCGATAAACTAGAGAGTTATCTCCTCCTATCAGTGAGTCACCCGTATGATGCACTCGGCAACCCTCAGCAGATTCCAGTACCCTACATCTAGCCTTGGCTGTATGACGAAATCCACCATTGGAATTACATTCCAGTTCACGGATTAACAACGGCGTTGCCCATGACTACGCCTTTGAAGAATGTTTTATCATACAAATATTTCAAAGATTGAAGCTGTTTTTCTTTCAAGTTTATCCAATTTTCTTCAAACAAGGACAACTTTGCACTAAAAAATATACACATGCTTCGAACGACGCAATTTTGATAACTTATTTTTATACGCGGGAAGTTTTCCTAATAAGTAAACCGGTGCCGCATCGCAATTGTATAGGCGTACACATCACTTATCGTCATACAGCCGAGGCTAGATGTCGAGTAACGGAATCTGCCGAGGTTTGCCGAGTACTGTATGATGGCGGTGAGCAAAATTAAAATCCGCACATCTTAATCCAGCATTAAATCATTTTGTATTCTAAACAGATATCAAAAGAAAACAACCAACATAGTCACCTCGTATATTGTTTCTGCAGGAGTTACTTCCCCTGCATGGGCTGTTCGGTGTATCCCGTTTCTTTCAGCATCCTGTATTCGACCAACAAAACATAATTTCAAAACTTTCAGATTTTGTTTCTATGACGATATATTGAACAAAATAATACATAGATAAATGATCTCGATCAGTTTGCACAATCTTGGTGAAAACATCAATAATAAGGAGAGTTTCCATAGTTACGTTGACACTCTAAATTTAGTGGGCATTAACCCCATACTAAACTTACAGTAACTGTAGCTACCTTTGAAAACAGACACTAAGCTACTTGATCGACATTTTGATTTCAAAATCGACGGTTTTAGTCGAAATCATTAAGTATACTTTGAAAATTTTGACAAGTATTTATTCCCCTTCCAGTTAATAATATTAAAAAGGTTTATACATGCTTTGTGTGTGTAACAGATGTGAATCGGTGTGGAACGTCATTACAAAACAGTATAATAATTGTATAGATATGGCGGCCATTCAGGGCAGAGATCTATTCTCTAGTCTAAATAAAACCGGGATAATCAAGATGGGTATATACCATGCAATGAACTTTTAGAGACATTTTGCCCGGACAGCAACGTTTACGCGTACTTTTCTTCGAATTCCAGCTGCCAACCGCGATCATTCCTCTCATCTGAACGACTAAACACTGTCCCTTGCGAGGACCTCCGTCTTGCACCACTGACAAGTTTAAACCAGACTGGAAAATTCCGAGATATTTTATAGACCCGAGATACCCTGGCTAGTACGCCAGTACCTTATTCGCTGCGCCTTAGCCACCGTCGCTTCCCTTTGTCCATATACGAAAATGAAAGTAAACGTACCAAATAAGCCATGATATGTGGTGAATCTTTACCACATAAATGTTCTGGTCCGGCTACATCAATACCTACAACTCCATCGGATTTAAAATCTCTACATAACTCAGCTACTTCTAATGACCATTCTACAAATAAATATAAAACATACACCACGTGACATTTTATGACCAATAGATATCAATATAAATATAAAGCATAGATCATACACCGTACATAGAAATGAAATGAATTGGGCTAATGAAGACGGACATACACCATACAGTGTTCTATGGGGGAATTGTTGCCGGACAGTGGCGCTACGGCCTACTCTTATATCGAATTCCGTCTGCCAAGGGATCTATTACGTGCACGTCAATGTGTACACAGGACCTCGGTTTTTCGTCCCATCCGAAATGGCTAGACAGCTGTCCTTGTCAGATCCTCCGTCTTGCACCAGTGACAAGGGGAAACCACGGCCTCCAGACTAGCGAGCCAGCGTTTTACTCAGTTAACTATCGTGGCTCCAAACCATAAATAGTTAAAAAACAAAACAAACCAAAACACACAATTCAGATTAGCAATAGACAACGATAAATATAAAAAAAACCATAAAGAGCATAAAGTTGCGTTTCGTTTATCATTTTTCTGATTTTTACACTAAAAACAAAGTTCTATCACCACTGTGTTCTTCAGAGAGTGTTCCGAGTCGCACCCCAAATGGTTGTATCTATTTATATACGTTAAACAATCAGAATCGTTCTCATTATGTTATACTGCTAACATAAAATAGAACCATATGATAGTCCCGAAATGACCTAGTTTATGTCAAGTGGACGTTAAACCCCATTTCTCTCGCTCATTGGTTATAAAATGTCCATATTTCATCATTAGGGAGAGAGGGAGAGAAATGTTTGGGGTTTTTTTATAAATAGTTTTTTATTCAGGTTATCTGAATGGGATTGGTAACAGGTTTATGTAAAACGCCGCTGGGGTTTAACGTCCACTTGACGCAAACTAGGTCAATTCGGGACTAACATATAGTTCAATTTTATTTCAATAATTCGCTTGTGCGTAGGGGTCTTTAGCAGTGGGATGGAACTACACGATCACACTAATTGACGTAATGACAGACCTCATTATATAAAGTGTATACCTTAGCCCCACTCCGCCCCCGTTATCATTTATTTATTTATTTATTTTTTCAAGAGGCATATCAAACATGACAATAGAGATGATAATATAAAGTTACATGATAATAAAGTTTGGATGAGAGAAAAAATAATGATGTCATGGATGACCAGCCTCTTGGGGATAACCCATAAAAACCTGCTTAAATTCAAACTAGGTTTTTTTTCAAATGGGGTCATGTGTCATTCTGTCCATTACCTGGCGTGTCCCTATAGCAACATAAAATACTCTTCACATTGACGTTAAAATCTCTACAACCATTGACTAAAGCCTCGTTTACAGTTGTAACTACATCACGTGGAGAATAACTTCCGGTTTCCAGCGCATAATAAGGTTTAGCGAATGTATTGGCCATTAAATGTGGAGAATAGCGAGTCTCGGCGTATTTAATGTTATATTTAGAACAGGTTTCACAGAACTCATAGGCCATCTGATAAACAGCATCTCTATCACCACTGAAACAATACAAAACAACAATACAAAACGAAACATGTTTATATGGAAAACAATCATTTGTTTGTAGACAAAGACAGCATGACGTTTCTACAAGTTTAGTGTTCGCTTATCATATGAGTTCAAAAACACAACGATGTGTTGCTCAATCGCATGATTGATATGGAAAATAATCACTTGTTTGTACACAACACGACGTTTCCACAAGTTAGTGTTCTCTTATCGAATGAGCTCGGAAACGTCGTGTTGTACGTGTCTAATAATTCTAGAATATGGTAACTTGAGTAATTACGCTAGAACCGACATAAAAGTTCCAGAGTATGTAACTTATGCCACAACTGATATAAAACGTCGCCCAAATAAATCAGTAATTGTTCTTCCATAAGTATGTGTTATAGTTTATTGATATAAAAGTTGTAGAATATGATAACTTGAGCTACAATCGATATAAAAGTTCTTAGAATATGATAACTTACGCTACAATCGATATAAAAGCTCTAGAATATGATAACTTGAGCTACAACTGATATAAAAGTTCTAGAATATGATAACTTACGCTACAATGGGCATAAAAGTTCTAAAGGAGCGTAATAGTCTCTCTAAATCATGTGTTTGTTTCAGCAGTAAATAATCGTGAAGTTCAGCCACAGTTTTTGTTGGTAGTTGAATACCACGTCGCCTAAACATAACATAAAACAACAAATTAGATCAGTTCTCTCTCTCTCTCTCTCTCTCTCTCTCTCTCTCTCTCCACAGCCTTTCATATACTATGTCATCTGATTTTCGATCCTCTCATGTGCTTAGAAAGCTGCATTCAGTCAATGCTCGTTGTATTCAAACAGGTATGCTAGTAGAATATGGACAAGAAACCTAGTATGACGTCATGTCCGTCATCTTTGACGCTGGCTCTCGATCGCTAGCCATGAGGTCTCGGGTTCGCTCCCGCTGTTGTCAGTAGTGCAGGCGAGTGTCTAGTCTTTCGGAAGGGACGAAAAACCGAGGTGTCGTATACAAATAGGTGTGCATGAACTTATTGGCGGTTCAGGGACCCTTTTTGTGAGCTACATTTGGTAGTTGCTTTTATCCGAGTCATCCCTTGGGACGAATCATAGAGTTCGCCCCTATTTCCGATATGGACTGGATCCGTTCTCAAAACATTTCTTTTTACAAACTGGGCAATGGAAGACGGGTATACGCCATACAGTGTGCAATGGGCGACACTATGGCCGACACTTATATCGAATTCCAATTGCCAAGAGATATTTTACGTGCACGCCAAGGTATACACGGGACCTTGGCTTTCCATCCCATCTGAACGGCTAGACAGCTGTCCGTGTCAGAACCTCCGTTCTGCATCACTGACAAGGGGAAACCACGCCGGAAAATCCCGATGAACTTTCTCCGCCAATGCAGGGATCGAACACATGACCTCCAGGCTAGCGAACAAGCGTTTTACCCACTTAATAGCCACCGTGGCTCCCACAGAATTTTGAAACGGTTGCATTAAATTGTTATATTTTGTCATTACATAGGTATTTATTATTAGTATTTATTCTAAATATTTGTTAGACATGCGATATAAATAAGTACTACTATGAATATGTCTTAGGTCAAACAGTGATAGTTCATGGCCTGATGCTCTAACATATGCGCTTTAGATCATAAGAACTGTTAATAAGTCAACTTTATGTCGGATCTCTAAATGTCCTATTATTTTGAGCGGACGTCAAACCCCAATACTCTCTCCGCTAACTACAGGAGGACCACGCAAACTAAACCCATAAGACAAACATGCGGACATGTTAGCTCCAGTTGTATGTAATAGTAAGCATAGGAGGACCACATCACACATAAACTAAACCCATATGACAAACCTGCGGACATGTTAGCTCCAATTGCATGTAATTCTAACTACAGAAGGACCATGCAAACTAAACCCATAAGACATGTTAGCTGAAGTTGTATGTACTAAGACAAACCCGCGGGCATGTTAACCCCAGTTGTATGTAATAATAAGCACAGGATCACACACAATCTAAACCCATACGACAAAATTGTGGACATGCCACACAATCTACACATATATTACAAGCAAATAAGCAAAATATTGAAGAAGAGTACATTACTTTGCTGTTTCAAATATGGTCTGTGGTCGTATTGTACCATCAAGATGAACATGCAGCTCAACCTGTCAAAATAATACATTATTTGATATTAACATATGGTAATTTTACCATCAAGAATTTTACCATCAAGGATTGTTTTATATTAACATGTGGTAATTTTACTATCAATGATTATTTATATTAACGTGTGGTAATTTTACCATCAAGGATTATGTATATTAACATGTGGTAATTTTACCATCAAGGATTATTTATATCAACAAGTGGTAATTTTATTTATATTAACATGTGGTAATTTTACCACCAAGGATTATTTATATCAACATGTGATAATTTTACCATCAAGGGCTATTTTATATTAACATGTGGTAATTATACCATCAAGGATTATTTATATTAACATGAGGTAATTTTACCACCAAGGATTATTTATATTAACATGTGGTAATTTTACCATCAACATAAACATGCTGCTAAACCTGTTGATATTATATGAGAAACAAAATGAAATGGAGTTAATGTTATACTGATGTGCTCCGGCGGAGTTAATGAAGAAGGACATACGCGATACAGTGACGTTTTGCCCGGATGGATATACGTGATATGGTCTACTCTTACATCGAATTCCAACTGCCAAGGGGTCTTTTACGCGCACGCCAATGTCAATGTGTACACGTGACTATGCGTTTTCCATTGCCAGTCCCTATGTCCTACACATATTATCTGAGACTAACATGCGGTAATATAATATAGCTCAGCTGCCTATAAGATACATTATACCACCACATACTGTAGCCCATCTGCCGATTAAAGCTGCATTATATGACTGCATAATGTAGTGCAGCAATCTCAACATAGAACAAACAGGAAAAGTATTAAACACAGGCTAAATCTAGGGCAATACGATATTCTCGATATAGTCATTTATCGCGATATGGTATTTTCAGACCCAACTACGATATCATGTGGCCAAAAATCGTCAATATAGTGGTTTATCGAATATCATAAAAATAGATAATAAATACACTATACAGCAGTGGAAATTAGCCGACGGCAATGAATAAACTATAATAAAACTAATGTTTTGAGAATTGTTAAATGTTGAAAACACCTGCACAGTGTCCGCAGCCGTTTTTCACTGCATCGTGTATGCGTTACTTTTACTTTGTTTTTAGTCCACAATAAATTGTCAGTTGTTACTACATGTAAAGCTTAGGCCTACTAAACGCCTGAAATTTCCCACTACCGCGGCTAATTACCAGGCTATAAATAGGTTGTCATATTTTTAAAAAACGAATATTTTTAGAAAACTCTACAAAACTTTATTTCTGAAAGCAAGAAAAAAACGACCTATAAATAGATTACTGTCACTGTTAGGCCACAAATACCACAGCCAATCGAATGCTTGAATGGAAGATAGTCCAGATCATTTAGTATTTGTTAAACTGTTTGAACTTATAATACAAGACTTGAATTGAAGACCACACCTACGAATTTTCTTATACAAGGTCACAAGCAGACGCTTTTTAAACATCAGCGGTTGTATTTAATTTTTATTCAAAAAGGATGTTGTTTTGTTCATTTTAATAAATCTATATTATAAAAAAAGCAAAGTTTCAAGTGTATGAATAAAGCAATTCTTACCCACAATTCTTACTCACACTGTAGTCAGCTTTAACGAATTTATATTTAATTTATTTAATAGGAAAGTGACATTATTATTAAATATCGCGATATTTAACTATATCGTTGAAAAAAATGTCAATATCGATATCATCCCTTTTTGCAATATCGTACAGCCCTAGCTAAATCACAATAAGATAAAATGAAATGAAATGGGGTATAAGATCCTACTGTTCTTATTCGACTGGGCTAATGAAGACGGGCATACACCATACAGTGTGCTATGAGAGAAATTTTGCCAGGGCAGCGGCGCTACGACCTACTCTTATATCGAATTCCAACTGCCAATGGATCTTTCACGTGCACACCTTTTTGTACACAGAACTTCGATTTTTGGTCCCATCCGAACGATTAAACAGCTGTCCCTGTCAGGCCCTCCATCCTGCATCACTGACAAGGGGAAATCACACGGAAAATCTGGATGAATTTTCTCGGCCAACACTGGGACCTCCAGACTAGCGAGCCAGCGTCTTACTCACTTAGTCACCGTGCCCCCACCCCCAATAAGATAATAAAACATTGTCTAGTTATTCGGATGGGAGGAAAGACGAAGATCTACACGTTCACGTGCGCGCCTTTAACCGAAACCTGGAGATTTGGAATTTAACAGGCGAAAATGTCCTTTTCTAACCAAAATATAACAGCATTAAGATATTCATATTTATAACCGTGTGTCAGTATCATTAACAGTTAAAAAAGCATCCAAAGTCGATCCAATGTGCAAACGATCCTTCACTGTCACCGGCACCTGTAATGTTCGTACTTTAGCTGGTGGTGGACATACGTCAACAATACAAAACTTTTGAAACACAAATCGAAAATAGTCGATAATCATAATGATATCTAATAAGTTTCCCTATACAATCTTGCCACTTGGCAGATCCACACAAGGCCACAAAGTATTTTCTTTCAAAGCCAGGCTTTCAGATTATTTATCCAGAGGCACGTTCGTGCATAGGGTCGCTAAATAGGCCCCGATGGAAAGTGCCCATCGTGAGTAGCCCTGTTGACGTGGAAATATTAAAGCCTATTTCCTTTGGCTATTGTCAGTAATATCACCTAGTGGGGGGTCGGTCGCTAAGCTCGACAACAACAGGAAGTTTTGAATCTATTCGACAATCAAGGTACTTAGAGAGAGAGAGAGAGAGAGAGAGAGAGAGAGAGGTGGGGTTTAACGTCTACTCGACAAAACTAGGTCATTTCGGGACTAACACATGGTTCAGTTTTATTTGGCTTGCGCGTAGGGGTCTTTATCAGTGGGAGGAAACCGGAGGACCCGGAGAAAACCCACGAGGTTGGACAGACGACCCTACTCCTTGTCACGTACAACCGGGGATTCGAAACCACGCCAGTTGACTCAATGACAGACCTTATGATACAGCACGCACGTGCTACCCCCCCCCCCCTCCCCAAGGTACTTATAAATCATAGCTTACCTTATAAGGAAAGTCATCATCTCCTGTAAATTTCTTGAACATTTTACCACCCTGTCTCAAAATGTGGGCTAACTGGAAACGAAAGAGTCGTGTTGATCTAGGATACGATTACACTGTATGACATAATATTTAAGTTGCTAATCGTACGCTATCTTTCGGTGTGAATCTGAAAGAACAGTTATATAGATTCCAAATATTTGTCTAATTGACGGGTAATGGTCTACACCATAACACAATATCTTTGTTGCTAATCAGTGATTGCCTACTCGGGAGACGTCGGTCTATAATAGTAATATATGTTATTGAGTGAGCGGGAAGTAGGTCTCAATGTTTTGCTTTACTTAAGGCACGTTAACACTGTGTCAATATTTTGACAGTGTATCGTGACGGTTCTCAACTGGTCCGATTTGTTGAATAAGAAATACAATGAAAAGAAATGGGGTTTAATGTCCTACTATTCTGCCTGGGCTAATGAAGACGGGCATATGCTATACAGTGTGCTATGAGGAAATTTTGCTCAGGCAACAGCATTATGGCGTACACTTATATCGAATTCCAACTGCAAAGATATCAATATAAATATAAAGCATAGGTCATACACCGTACATAGAAATGAAATGAATTGGGCTAATGAAGACGGACATACGCCATACAGTGTGCGATGGGGGAATTGTTGCCGAACAGCGGCGCTACGGCCTACTCTTATATCGAATTCCAACTGCCAAGGGATATTTTACGTGCATGTCTATGTAAAATAAAAACACGGCAAGTCATAGACGGCATACAACCATAGACACAGACCAGTCATAGACACATAGAATGACTCAAACTAAACTAAATAAAGAAAAACACAGCTATGAACTTATCAGTAGACACCAGTGAATACTCAATTGGGATCACGTGGTTTTTCACATTTTCTTAGTGTGCCGTTAAAAATTTCGCGGCTAAGTTAGGAAGATCTCGCGGCACACTGGTTGAGAATCACTGCACTAGACCACTAGATACCCCCTCCACATACTCACCGAGACAAGTTAAAAATTTCGCGGCTAAGTTAGGAAGATCTCGCGGCACACTGGTTGAGAATCACTGCACTAGACCACTAGATACCCCCTCCACATACTCACCGAGACAAGTTTAAATTCAATTCACTGACCGACTGACAATCGATGGTGTAGACAGCTTTATAGCTTAGAAACGGGCATTTATATATTCAACAGGATATCAATATATGGCGTGTCTGTAGTCACTCCTATAGTCGTGTGATTCGTGGTAATACATTAGATAATATAATAGACAAATAGGCCACTGTGACATGACGCGCGTGACTTTAATAAATAGGGAATTCCTCTAATTGCCACGCTAGAGTTATGTCCCTTTCATTGAGAGAAAATGAATGAATAAATGGTGTAACGTTCATACGATGAAAGGCGGACGCCATGCAGCGTTCTTTAAGGGTAATTTTGAGTAGATAGCAACTGCATTCCAACTCATTCACTCGCACTCGATTTCGCATGCACCCAACCACACACCCCACAACACCAGTACTAAGTGGGTCAGATAATCTCTTCGGTGCAGTGTAACTGTAAGTGGGAGAAATTGGAGTAGGCCAACTCAAACACAAAAAACAAAAATAGGAAGGTGACCCTACTCATTGTCACGTGAAGGTCAGTGGTGCAGGAAGGAGGGCCTGACAAGGACAGCTACCTAATGATTCGGATGGTACGAAAACCCGAAGGCTTGTGTACACATTGAGTGGACGTTAACGATCCCCTGGCAGTAGGCCATAGCGCCGCTGTCCGGGCAAAATTTCCCTCATACTTGTCATAGCTCACTGTGTGGCGTATACCCGTCTTCGTTAGCCCAGTTGGAACAGATCAGTTTGACGTTAAACCACATTTCATTTCATTTCACGTAGGCGGCCAACTAACAATTCATAGAACCAAGAGCTGTATATATCTAAGCCCTGTGACTCTCCAGTCCACCGACCAACTAACTCGATTGCTAATGCTGGAAATATTGTATTTAAAGAATAAGAAAAAAGCAAATAGGCCTACTCCCAAAACAAAACAAATCAAGGCCTAGTTCAGTAGTTGTTTACATGTCGTCATGACAACGCCAAACGACGAATGTGTTAAACAGCCATACTAACGACTTCAAAGGCCGATCATACTACGTATAATGCAAATAATTGCTAAAACCAAAATAAATAACGTTGATTTAACCGAACAACATGGGCCTATAGAAAAGCAAACAAAATCGAGTTGTAAACATTTGATTGTCAGAGCAGTTACCTCCCCTTAAATTTGGCTTCGAACATCCAGACTATGTCTATCGCCGAGACGTATAATTTTAAAAGTAAATTAAAGCGCGTGGGAAATGGAAGGTTAACGATTGTGTTAAATGATTAACAAAAAGTGCACGTTAGGTTCCATAAATGCCACTAAATGAGTATGCGATGATCATTATTTGGAAGCATTCAGCAAACCCCGGACCCCGGCAGACTCCGGTACCCTATATCTAACGTCGGCTGTCTGCCGTATTCCAACATTGGGACTACTTTCAAGTTCTGGGATAAAAATGAAGACACCCGTGAAAAGTGTTGTATATTGCTTGTTATGTACTTCTCGGATGTACTTCTCAAGCCCATTGCTTGACTAAGTTCAAAAACTCTACACACTCTTCGAACGACGCCAGTTTGAGAACTTCTTTCTAAAAGCGGCAAGTTTTCCAAATAAGTAAACCAGTAGTAGCATCACAATTGTGGAGTAGCTACATATCACTTACCGTCATACGACCGAGGTTAGATGTAGGGTACCGAGGTTTGCCGAGTGTATTTGTATAGGTGTAGCTACATATCACGTACCGTCATACGACCGAGGTTAGATGTAGGGTATCGAGGTTTGCCGAGTGTATTTGGAAGAGATGACGTCGAAGAGAGAGAGAGAGAGAGAGAGAGAGAGACATATGGTTTAACGTCCACTCGACACAAGCCAGGTCATTTCGGGACTAACATATGGTTTAATTTATTTCCATAATTCGCTTGCGTGTAGGGGTCTTTAGCAGTGGGAGGAAACCGGAGGACCCGGAGAAAACCCACGAAGTTGGACAGGCGAGTGGGCGACCCTACTCCTTGTCACGTACAACCGGGGATTCGAAACCACGCCAGTTGACTCAATGACAGACTTTATGATACAACACGCACGTGCTAACCATTCAGCCATCCAACCCCCCCAGAAGGCGTTGGAGATTGCTCCTTTAAAATTTCGAGCGGTATTATTTTAATTTTGTCATTTTATATCGTCACTCCCTCACTTTTACTTTACTTCCATAGATTATATGATGATCATTATTTTAAATAGACTGGCAAAGGGAAGACAGTGCCTTTAAAATTTTGTGCATCACATTTTGGATTCAGTCCTTTTATGTGTTGACTCCCTGACTTTCAGTTTAAATATATAGAAAATACAATGAGCTGGGGTTGTCACCTATCCAACCTCGTGCGTTTTCTTCGCGTCGCCCGGTTTCCTCCAACTGCTAAAGACACATACGCGCAAGCGAATTATTGAAATAAAATTGAACCATATATTAGTCCCAAAATGACACTCCCTCTCTCTCTAGAATATTATACCTCTCTCTCTCTCTCTCTCTCTCTCTCTGTATTTGGTAACACGTGATCACAGATTCTAATCTCTCTATCATATTATGAATAAAGTGTATGTAAAATAGGTCACATATCTTACTATAAATAGATTAGATTGCTGCTGTACAATCTACCATTGAGAAAGTTTTTACTATGATTATATTATATCTATACGACTGTCGTGTACAATACACAGAGAGAGAGAGAGAGAGAGAGAGAGAGAGGTCCACTCGACACCAAGTACCAACTAGGTCATTTCGGGACTAACACATGGTTCAGTTTTATTTCAATAATTCGCTTGCGCGTAGGGAGTCTTTAGCAATATGAGGAAACCGGAGGCCCCGGAGAAAACCCACGAAGTTGTACAGGCGACCCTACTCTTTGTCACTTACAACCAGGGAATCGAAACCACGCCAGTTGACTCAATGACAGACCTTGTAATACAGCTTGCACGTGCTAAACATTCGATCATCCAATCCACCTAGCATACAATGCAGCATTGAGAATGATATTTAACACATGTAAATGAAATGAAATTTGGGTTAACCGAGGTCTCGTGTACATATTGGCGTGCACGTAAAATATCCATTGGCAGTTGGAATTCGATATAAGAGTAGGACTCTCGTATCCTTCCGCCTCAAAATCACCAAAAACTGGCAGAGAGAGAGAGAGTAAAATAGGTGAATAGAATTTGTCTATGAAATGAAATGTTCTGCTCCGACTGAGCTAATGAAGACGGGCATACGCCATATAGTGTGCTATGAGGGAAATGTTGCCTATTCCAACTGCCAAGGGATCTTTTACGTGCACGCCAATGTATACACGGGACCTATTTTTTTTTTGTTCCATTAGAACGACTAGACAGCTGTTCTTGGCCGACTCTACATCCTGCACCAAGTCGGAAAATCTCGATGAACTATCTTGGCCAATGCAGGGATCGAACACCCGACCTCCAGGCTAGCGATCCAGCGTCTTACCCACTTAGCCACCGTGGCTCCACAATCACTGAGAGGGGTGACATCGGTGCAGTTTAATGAGCTAGCGATACTTATTTGCATCTGCAAATTAAATTCTAAAGTATTTTTTTTAAGCATTAGAAAAATAAAGGTTTTGAAGTATATGTAGGTAAACCATATTTCCTATTTAGTGTAAATTGGTATGTAAAATGAGTAAAAGGCACCATTCTGCCCGTACCAGTAACGTCTTATGTAAACAATGCATGCGCCATTGAGCCAGTGGTTGATGCCGCGTGATGTGACGTCATATGTTGAAAGCAGTCATCTTTTACGGAGTTATTAGAAGACTTTCGTATAGTTTTAATTGGATCATAATTTGTGTAGAGTGGCGTGGTGTCGATCACACACTTGGAAGTAATACGAAGTAGGGTCGCCTGGTTAACTTCGTGGCTTTTCTCTGGGTTCTCCGGTTCCACTGCTAGTCTCTCTCTACCCTCTCCCTCCCTCCCCCTCCCCGTCCCCGTCCCCCCTCCCCCTCCCCCCTCTCTTTTCACCGCTTTCTCTCTCCCTTTCTCGATAGAGCATGATCGTCTGCCTACTTCCGTGGGTTTTTTCCAGGACCTTCAGTATCTTCTTAACACCAAAGATATTGGTACACATGCGCATTATTTAAAAAAGATATAACATTTAAACTGCTATATATTCTTTTAAATTTACGCCGATGTGTATATTCGGGGTTTTCGTCCCATCCAAACGACTAGACGTTGCTCATTAACAGATCCCCCGTCATGCACCACTGACATGTGAGAAATGGGTTGTAGAAACGTTCATAGTAAACACCTCATCGATCAAGGGACCACCTCGATTGGGAGCCAGCGCCTTAACCGCTGAGCCACCGTCTCTCAATAAGTGAAATGAAATGAAGTAGGGTTTAAAGTCATACTGTTCTGCTCCGAATTGGGCTAATGAAAACTGCTATGAGGGAAATTTTGCCCGGACAGCGGCACTACGGTATACTATTATGTCGAATTCCAACTGTCAAGTGATCAAAACTGACACAGTTATATGGGACAACAATCACTGGTTTATTATACACAAGTACAACGTTTCGATAAGTATTCTGTTATCGTTATAACGATAAGAGAATACTTATCGAAACGTTGTGCTTGTGTATAATAAACCAGTGATTGTTGTCCCATATAACTGTGTCAGTTTTGTTATGTTTCCAATTGCTATATGCCACTAAAGGATTATGTCAAGTGATCTTTTACGTGCACGCCAATGTGTTTTTCGTCCCATTCGAACGACTAGACAGCTATGATTGTCAGGCCCTCTGGCCTGCATAGCTGACAAGGGTGAACCACGCCGGAAAATCTGGGTGAATTTTCTCGGCCAATGCAGAGATCGAACACCCGACCTCCAGGCTAGTGAGCCAGCGTTTTACCCACTTAGCCACCGTGACCCCCTGTCTCTCACTAAAATAAATATCAAATTATGTAGATTAAGTTTAATGTTTATTTATATTTGAATAAATATGAAAATAAAAATGAAATATCAATCTATATTTTGAAATAAAATGTGCAAATATAATTTACAAAAATCTAGCAATTCATTGTTCGCTTCGTTCTGAACACATTGCACTGCCTTCATCCGAGAACTGCGCATAAAAAACATGATGTCATCACTCTGACGCTTTTGACCTCCACATAAAAACATGACGACATGCCTAAGGAAAACATAAACATACGAAAGATAAGTTATCCTGCCAAACCCCGTTTATAAAGGCGATATAGTACTTAGTTTTAACACGAATAAATGAAATGAATTGGTGTTTAGAGTCCCACTTTTTTTTGCATCGGCTGAAGCCGGTTGTAAATGGTTCAGTTTTATTTCAATGATTCGCTTGCGAGTAGGGGTCTTTAGTAGTGGGAGGAAACCGGAGGGCCCGAAGAAAACCACGAGGGTGGTGTTGTAAATTGGGAAAATAACTACTTTTCATTAGGACATGCATCGTATAAATTACATCCGAAGCAGACAATTTATTGAGACGAATGATCATTTATTATTTCCATTTGTTAAATTTTCTCTACACTTGCGTCACATATATCTTTAAATTAGTTTGAGCTCCGTCAAGGTACTGAATCCAGTCATGAAAGACAGAATCCGGTCATGAACGTTTAATTATGGTGACCAGAAGAGAAGAAGCGAACGCGAGTGGTACATAAACTCAGTATGTTACAGGGTTTAAATATTTAAACATAAACAAACGACCTGTGGCTAATTATAGTACCCATTACTATTGAATACACAAACCCAACGGGGGGGGGGGGGGTGGATGGCCGAATGGTTAGCACGTGCACGCTGTATCATAAAGTCTGTCAAATGGCGTGGTTTTACGTGACAAGGAGTAGGGTGGCCTGTCCAACCTCGTGGGTTTTCTCCGGGTCCTCCGGTTTCCTCCCACTGTTAAAGACCCCTACGCGTAAGCGAATTATTGAAATAAAATTGTACCATATGTTGGTCCCGAAATGACCTAGTTTGTGTCGAATGGACGTTAAACCACGTCATTTCTAAAGTCGGTACGACAAAACATAGTCTCAATTATCCATTTTTGGATTTAATCATCAATGACCGTGAGCAGCAGATCGAAACCAGTGAAAATCCGGCACATAAGATGCCATCGAGAGTTGATTAATGTCTTCTGATGTTAATAAATGTCTAATTAATAATTTATATAACATTTCAAGCCTAAAGAACGACCTGCAATAGGCAGATTCAGCTCTTGCATAATGTATGTATGTTTAATGAGTACAGCCTGATTACTAACAATTTTAACTCACTAATAAAAACTGTGTCTATAAAATGACCATTTCATCATTGATAAAAGTTTTTGTTCTCTTGTCAAGGGTATCAATATTACTGTAAGATTGTTGTTCAATAGTCAATAATATGAAGTTTACAGTATCTTATTGGGGTTTGTATCCAGTTCTGGCATATTTCATAAGCTTAATGGCTTCATAACCCTTCATCTGGAAATCATCTTTGAGAATCTCTTCCGACAGATCCAACAGAAGATCCCCACTCATCTGAGCTTCTTCAAACGCGTCAGCATATTTACTTAACTTCAGTGTCTCGAGACTCTCGGTTAGCTGTTTGATGGTGAAACCTTTCACGTGCTCAGTCACAGATTGTGGCTGCGGAACTTCCGTCTCTTCCGGGGCCTGCTGAGACGACTGTGATGGTGATTTCTCTAACGGTTTGACCATAGCTCGTGGATTATTAGAGTTGACATACGTAATATTATCTCTCGAGATTTTGGGTTTCGGATTTTCAGTAATCGAAGGGATGTTTCGGACAGGAATGGGAGGAGGTGTCATATCGTCCACGGCAGGAACGATAACTCTAGAATAAACAGTGCCATCAGACATTTCGTACGTATCGCCATCTGTTGGTTGTTTCTTCTCAAGCTGGGTCAGAAGATCTTTGACGTTTGGCATCGGAGCCGAGCATTTCCGTTTTTGATTAGTTGGGCGGTATTTGATAAAGTGGGTGGGTTCGATGTAATCATAGACATTTTCGGTCGATCTTGACAAAAGGTCCGGTGAATACACAGCAATATCTGAAAAATATTTTATTTGGAAATGTAACTGAAATGAAATGGGGTCTGTAATGTCCTACTGTTCTACAGGGACTGGCCTAATGAAGGCGGGTATACATCAAGCTGTATGCAATGGGTGGGATTTTGCCAGGACAGCAGGGAATCGAAATCACACCAGTACAAACAATGACAGTCAACAAGGTATCGAGCACGAGACCTCTAGGTTAGATAGCCAACGCCCAACGCACTGAGTCACCGTGACACCCCATAGGCGTGACACCCCATGGGCGTGGCTCTCATCCATAAATTATTTCGTGGGCGTGGTATAAACGAATCTTTGATTACCTGTATTACCGCCGGCTACTTCATAAGAAATATCGTTCACCGCTTCATCCATTTCTCGTTGAAACGTGGAAAATACTGACCGCGGTTGGCCTTCAATGCCTGATACAACCGCCACGACCAGGTTCTGGAGATAGATGGGGACGTATAGAATCTCTCTATCTAACTGACCTAAAATAAAATGAAATGAAATGGGGTTTAACGTCCTACTCTTCTGCACCTAACCTGGGCTAATTGAAGACGGGCATACGCCATACAGTGTGCTATGAGGGAAATTTTGCCCGGGCAGGGGCGCTACGGCCTACTCATATCGAATTCCAACTGCCAAGGGATCTTTTACGTGCACGCCAATGTGTACACGGGACCTCGGTTTTTCTTCCCATCCGAACGACTAGGCAGCTGTCCTTGTCAGGCCCTCCTTTCTGCATCACTGACAAGGGGAAACCACGCCGGAAAATCGAGATGAACTTTCTCGGCCAATGCAGGGATCGAACACCCGACCTCCAGGCTAGCGAGCCAGCGCCTTACCCACTTAGCCACGTGATCCCCGACCTAAAATAAAACCAAAGATCTCACTCTATCTCTCCCGTCAAAAGGCAACACCTAGTAACTCACATTCTTTCTTATTTTGAGAAAACAAAGGAAAATGTAATGAATGAATATTAAACCCCAGCTTATGCATTCATTTGACTATTTAGTTACTAGGTTTTTCTGTGGCATACTAGGCAAATGAAGGAAGTTGCTAGGTTGTGTCATGGGTGTAACTGCTTACAAAATCAAAAGATTGGAATATCAAGTACAACAACAGGAAGCACATACCCCAGTAACTACAAATTTGGTCCTATCTCAATTTTGATAAAAAAAAGTGAGTTACTAGGTTTTGACTTTTGACGGGAGATTATTCTGGAGATAGATAGGGAAGTACAGAATCTCTCTATCTAATTGACCTAAAATAAAACCAAACAATTTATCTCACTCTGTCAAATCTGATTAATACAAATCTATATTTCATTTTTATGTACTTTCGATGGCCTCTACTACACGAAGATCTGACAGGTTGTAGTGAAAGGTCGCGTCAGAGGTCATACGAGCGGCTTTTGACTTTATGTCGTCAGACATTTGATTAGCCAATCAGTGTTGATGTGTCTAGTGGGTTACCCACAGTTCCGTGCACTTCACGTCAAACACTCGCCGTAACAGATCGTTTCGGTGGCTAATCCCTCCCATCATCAAGAACTCTTCCAGGTCCCAGTGTAGTAAAGACAAGTAAAACTATAAAAAACGAAACGAAATAGGGTTCGTTTTTTTTTAATCAGACTGAACTTTATCAAATCCCGAGGGAACATCGGAAATAAATGAAATAAATTAGGATTTGACTTTTTTGCACCATCCATGACATGGGAAATGGACAGTGGCGTTTTTCGCTTGCTTCTTATCGAATTCTAAATTTCAGTGATTCATTTCTGTGCAAACCAAGGTTTACAAGGGATCTCCACCATACATGACTTACAAATGGAAATGAAATGGAATTGGGTTTAGCGTCCTAATGTTCTGCACAGATCCCCCGTCCACTTACAAATGGACAACACAGTGAAAGTTGTCAAGGTACTTGTACTTGTTTCCCTAACATGAAATGAAATGAAATGAAATGGGGTTTAACGTCCTACTGTTTTGCTCCTAACTGGGCTAATGAAGACGGGCATACGCCATACAGTGTGCTATGAGGGAAATTTTGCCCGGACAGCGGCACTATGGCCTACTCTTATATCGAATTCCAACTGTCAAGGGATCTTTTACGTGCACGCCAATGTGTACACGGGACCTCGGTTTTTCGTCTCATCCGAATGACTAGACAGCTGTCCTTGTCAGGCCCTCCGTGTTTCCCTAACAAGCGCTTTACTCACTGGAACATGGTGGATACTGAAATCTGGTACAAGTGATATGCGATGTGGATCAGGACAAAAATAGAAAATGGATTGAAATATGCCAATAGGGTCGGAGAACTATTTTCCCAAATCTCTGAATGCCCTAATCGGGCCCGGAGCCACGGGGTTGGGGGGGGGGGTCTTAGCCCCCACAAAAATCGAATTAGCCCCCCCGAAATATTTTGCCAACAATAATGATTTCTTAGGAGCGTTCTTAGCCGGCCATATTCTCAGCCCCTCCAAAAAATTCCGTAGCCCCACCAAATTTTAAGAGCTGGCTACAGGCCCGCCCCTGACCCAAGAAAAGAAAGGCATGTGACCTCATTGTCGTCACGAAACTGGCATACCACGAGCGGTAGGATTAAAATGGTAGCTTTTTTGATTTCTCAAATAAATGGGGAATGGTGTTCTAGAAAGCTACTGACCTTCATTGATACTATTAGCTAGTAGATATACTGATCTTCATTGATACTATTAGCTAATAGATATACTGACCTTCATTGATACTATTAACTAGTAGATATACTGACCTTCATTGATATTATTAGCTAATAGATATACTGACCTTCATTGATACTATTAACAAATAGATAGACTGACCTTCATTGATACTATTAGCTAGTAGATATACTGACCTTCATTGATACTGTTAGCTAATAGATATACCGACTTTCATTGATACTGTTAGCTAGTAGATATACTGACCTTCATTGATACTATTAGCTAGTAGATATGTTTCATCGTAAAAATTTGTAAGATGTAAAGTACCAATGGTCTCTATCTGTTTTATGGACTCGCCAATATGTAGCGAATATCCTGGTGGTGGTAAACATAACTCTATCCTGACAGGCAGGGTGTTCTGGTCTATAATATCACGTAGGCTCTGTTCTCGGCCAGCTGAAATGACACGACTCTGTTACAAATCATGATATTAGAACTAAATGAAGAGAGTCTTAAGAGCGGTTTCAAGATGAAGAATTATAAAGCTGCTTAACTGATGAAATTTGCCAGAACAGGACACGTACGGCAAGAGAGAGAGAGAAAGAGAGGGAGAGAGGGAGAGAGAGAGAAAGAGAGGGAGAGAGACAGGGAGAGAGAGAGAGGGGGTTTAACGTCCAATCGACCTATTATACTATTCGTTTCTCTTACCTTTCTTTTGAGTTCTAGCAACCCGGAATTTAATTGGATAGTTCACAGGGAAACTAAGATGGCGCCCATGTGTATCCCTAGCAACCACTCGACGTTGCTTAGAATAGGAGTGGATTCTCATTACCTTAAAGGAAAAATAACGGCACTTTTAATGTGGCTATAACAGATTTATTGATGAATTCAAAGCTCATATACAGTGGTGTAATTTTAGGTGCACACTGTATGGCGTATGAGCGTCTTCATTGGGCCCGTCGGAGTAGAACAGTAGGACGTTAAACCCCATTTCATTTCATTTCATTTCTATGATGAATAATTGGCTTGTCACGTGATAAGGCCAGTCAGAGTAGAACAGCAGGACGTTAATCACGATGTCATTTCATTTCTATGATGAATAATTGCTTGTCACGTGATTAGATTTATCTATTAAAGTAGAAATGACGTCACTGAGAAAGATGTCCAACCAATTCTATCATAGTCTGTGGTCTGTGATAATAATTATTTTCAAGCCTTGATGTCCGACATTTTTTTCAAACAGACATTCTTAATGTTTCCTGGATAAGCAGGTCTATAAACTTATATAATTATTGTAGTCACGTAGAGCAGGTCACGTGCCACAAGTTACTATAACGTCTATCAAACATGCACTACGGTGTATCTGGGAGGCTAGATATATTTTTTAAGGCCAACTCAAGATTTCGTCAAGGTCGCTGTGATGTAAATAAGATAAGGGCACGTGATTGTTGGCGAGATTGTGGTGACCTTTGAACAAACTTGAAGTTGGCCTTATGAAGTAGATCTAACCGTATCTGGAACGCTTCTTTTAATATAAAGATAATAAAGTTAGTACTCACGTGACCAGTAGAATATGTATCTATATCAATATCACCATAGTGACCCTGCTTCACCTGTATTATAACAGGCAGACGATGGGCAAATTTCTCATAAACATTTCGTATTGACAACGCTTCACTGTTTAATTCAAATTTTATTTCAGTCGCCATCTTGGTTATTCAGTCATCAACTTCCTGTATCGTTGTGGTTGAATCCTGGGAATTGAAATGTAATGAATGAATGCAATAGGGAGCGTTCCTTTAAAACGTAGACGGAGGGCCTGACAAGGACAGCTGTCTAGTCTTTCGGATGGTACGAAAAAGTGAGGTCACGTGTACACATTGCCGTGCACGTAAAAGATCCCTTTGCAGTTGGAGTTCGATATGAATAGGCCGTAGTGCCGCTGTCCGGACAAAATTCCCCTCATAGCACACTGTATAGCATATGCCCGTCTTCATTAGCCCAGTATAGGAGCAGAACGGTACAACGTTAAAACCCATTCCATTTCATTTCATTTAAAACTCAGCGGAAACAGAGGACGTTGTCATGCCAACTATTCACCCATATTATATTATAGATTATAAAGATACATTATGTAAGATTTAGATAGATAACTGTTCGAAAATAGATAAAATGAATAATTTGAAAATTTCATTCAAATTACTCTATTGATTATGTCCTGGATAAGTTAATTAATGTCTAATTAATAATTTAGATAATATTTCAGGCCTAAAACAGACCTGCAATTGGCAGATTTAGCTCTTGCATAATGGTATGTTTAATACAGAAATAACGCCTGCTTAGCGAGTCGAAATAATTTGGACTGCCCCCCCCCCCCCACAAAGCCCCCCCCCCCCTGTCCCTTTAATATTAGTCCTTATATAGATTTTAATACTGAAAATAATCCAGATTATCCAGATTCTAGCATTTTTAACACGAAAACTATCAAAAAAATCCCGATAATACTAAACGGATGTGAAACTTTCTTTTTCGGAAAAACGAAAAGCACTGAATATTAGGAGGGGGATTGGATGGCCGAATGGTTAGCGCATGCGCGTAGTATCATAAGGTCTGTCATTGAGTCAACTGGCGTGGTGTCGATTCGCCGATTGTACGTGACAAGGAGTGACGTCCAACCTCGTGGGTTTCCTCCAACTGCTAAAGACCGCTACGCGCAAGCGAATTATTGAAGTAGTTTGTGTCGAGTGGACGTTAAACCCCATCTCTCTCTCTCTCTCTCTCTCTCTCTCTCTCCCCGAATATTAGGAAAGAATTATTAAAATGTACTTCCTTAACACGTTTATACTTAATAAGATCACTGAAACTTCCTTGTTAGTTATTAGGAGTGGAGTATGAGAGGAACGTCATTTTATGTTGCTTTTGGGGGCCACAGTGACTCAGTGAGTAATACGTTGGTTCGCTAACCCGGAGGACCCGTGTTCGATCCCTGTGTTCACTGAGAAAAGTTAATTGGGATTTTCTGGCGAGGTTTTCATCTCGTGACCTTGGGAAAATCTGCAATGGCCTTCGTAAATAGATCTGACCGTTCGATGAAGATTAGAAGGAACACCGCTGTCCTAGCAAAATCCCCCTCAGCACATTGCATGACGTATGTCCATCTTCAATAGCCCAATTATTGTACATTTTCCAAAACGTGATAAGGGGTTGGCCGAATGGTTAACGCGTGCGCGTTGAATCAGAAAGTCTATCATTAAGTTAAGTGGAGTGGTTTCAATTACCCGGTTGTACGTGTGATAAGGAGCAGGGTCACCTGTTCAACCTCGTGGGTTTTCTCTGGGTCTCCCGGAGTACTCCCATTATCAAATTGAAAGAAAAAAATTAACCATATGTTAGTCCCGAAAGGACCTGTTTTGGTGTTGAGTTAAGTGGATGTTAACCCATTCTCTCTCTCTTTCTCTCTCTCTCTCTCTCTCTGCCCACAACCCCTACGCGCTACTATAATATTAGAAGGTATTGGTTAATATCGCCTCGTTGTAATATAGGCTGGATTAAACAACGAGACTATTATTAGATCGTGACCCACGCTTTCTTATAACGAAATTGTATTCGCATTACAAATACTGAATGCTTTCTTGTGTAACTTCAAATCGGTTTGAATGAAAACATATATAATATAATAGACGTCCAGAATAGATCATTCATTATGTATCGCACAATACAAGTGTGTACATTAGCCATTATATAAGTGTTAACGAATACGCATAATTGTCGTAGAAAATATATATATATATATAGAGAGAGAGAGAAATGGAGTTTAACGTCCACTAGACACAAACTAGGTCATTTCGGGAATAACAATGGTTTAATCTTATTTCAATAATTCGCTTGCGTGTAGGGGTCTTTAGCAGTGGGAGGAAACCGGAGGACCCGGAGAAAACCCACGAGGTTGGACAAGCGACCCTACTCCTTGTCACGTACAAAAGGGGTTCGAAACCACGCCAGTTGACTCAATGACAGGCTTAATGATACAGCGCGCACTTGCTAACCAATCGGCCATCCAACCCCCCTCCATGTAAAGCGATATCTCCTTAGATTATGAAATTTATCACACAAGTGATATCTACTGTAGAATGTATTATTGGGTGATAAATATATTTCTATACATCATAACAAATTAGATAACCTACATCTAGTGCATCGCTATAAAAGTGTAATATTGTCGTGTATAAAACGACTATATATACATACCATCACTCGTCATAGAATATAAGTTTATATAGGCCTATAAGGATATATACAAAGTTTAGTATATTGTTGTGTATTAAACGACTATATACATACCATAGAATATAACTTACTATAGGCCTATAAGGATATAAACCAAATTTAGTATATTGTGTATTAAACGTAGTGTATGGTACGCCCGTCTTCATTAGGTCGGTTCAGTTCATTCATTCTTGTATAAATATAATCCCTTATGAGCTACAGCGCACCTGTTGACACCCTCGCACTTCTGCCCATAAACTTTATAACGTATTGAGGAGGTGGGGTGGGGCGGCCGGGTGTTGGGGGGGGGGATATATCAGGGAGACTATTATAAATCTAAAGCAGATGATAACGTACGAGTAAGGCATTGGACAAATAAATCTACACAGTAAACAAGATGTCACAGTTGAATTAAGACGATATTAATGTATATTTATCCTAAGCGAGAGAGAGACACAGAGAGAGAGAGAGAGAGACAGAGAGGGAACTTAATGTCCATTCGACACAAACTAGGCCATTTCGGGAGTAACATATTGCTCAATCTGATTTCGTCCGGGGGGCGGGGGGCAAAATTGGATGGCCTAAAACATCCACGGGGGTATTACTGATATCACATACTATGGGGGGGGGGGGGTTGCGCGGCGACGAAGCGTGATTTGCCCGGGACCCAGGTTTAATTCACCCGGTTGGGCAGGCAACCCTACTCCTTGTCAGGGCGGGGCAATATAAACCACGCCACTGGACTCAATGACAGACCATGTGATCTATCGCACACGCATTCAACTATTCAGTCAACCCTCGCCGGAAACTAACCCCCACTTCTGATCTGTGCTATGCTGTTTTTAACTTAACGAAAAGAAGTATCAAGCATACTCACAATATGTTGAATCTAATATTGGTTTAAATAATATACGCGGCTACCTGAATACATCCATATTTAACTCAATACGCATGACAAACAGGGTTTTAAACCCACATTTCTGATTATCGAAAAGAAAACTAAAACATACTCACAATATGTTGAGTTTAGTGTCTGTTAAAATTAATCCTTGTAAGACATGCCGCTACCTGAATACGTCCATATTCAACCATACGTATAACAGGTAAAGTGTCGGGTTTAATATCATTTTATAATGATATACTTCCTCTTTGCTTGAATACCTGAACTTTAAACAACAATAATATCACAGGTGAAGGATCTAGTTTAAAGCGACAACGCGTCTGATATCACAGGTGAAGTCTTTAGCTTAAAGCGACAACGCGTCTAATATCTCAGGTGAATACTTTTGCTTAAAGCGACAACGCGTTTAATATCTCAAGTGAAGTCTTTAGCTGAAAGCCACAACGCGTCTAGTCTATACAAATGAAATGGAATGGGGTTTAACGTCCTAGTGTTTTGCCTCGACTGGGCTAATGAAGACGGGCATACGCCATACAGTTTGCTATGAGGGAAATTTTGCCCGGTCAGCGGCGCTACGGCCCACTCTTATATCAAATTCATACTGTCAAGTGATCTTTTAGGTGCACTCCAATGTGTACACGGGGCGAATTAGGGCCGGGCGAAGTTGGGTTCCTGGCGAATTTGGGCTTCGTGGTATCGAATTAACTGTTGCTCTCCCTACTTTTCTGCACCTACCGGGATAAACAAGACGGGTATTCGTCATACAGTATTATATGAGGGACATTGTGCCCAGGCAGCAATTGAATTCCAACTAATTTAAAGCGGCAATACGTCTATATATATATATATATACTGAATAAAATGGGGTTTAACGTCCTAGTGTTCTGTACCGACATCCTAGTTAGTCAGCCACCTCCTTCCTCATTGAGTCGGGGGTTGGGTGGCCGAATGGTTAACGCGTGCACGTTGCATCAGAAAGGCTGTCATTGAGCCAAGTGGCGTGGTTCCGATTCCTCGCATGTACGTGGCAAGGAGTAACATCGCCTTTCCAACCCCTTGGGTTTTCGCAGGATACTCCGGTTTCCTCCCACTGCTAAAGATCCCTACGCACAAGCGAATTAATTAAATAAAATTGAATCGCATGTTACTCTCTCTCTCTCTCTCTCTCTCTCTCTCTCTCTCTCCCTCTCTCTTTATTAGCCCGGGAGCAGAGCAGTGAGACTTTAAACCCCTTTTCATTTCATTATTATTTTATTCTATCACAATATGGGTACTTTAAGTTACATACAAATACCGGACGTAGATGTTTTATAAAAATAGTAATAAAAAATATGGCTACTTTAAGTTACATACAAAACCCGGACGTAGATGTTTTATATTTAAATTAATGGCTACAGAAATATGGCTACAGTAAGTTACATAGAAAAACTGGACGTGGATGTTTGTATCTTTGTTTTATAAATCCAAAAACATTATTGCTACTTTAAGATTTGAAACTTCCCCTTTGCTCGCGTTCTACCTGTCCCGTGAGATATTAAAAAAAACTGTAATACAACACCACATTAGAGGTCGTTACGGATTCAGTTCACACGACAGTGACAATAACTGAGATGAAATGTAGTGTAACGCTATACTCACTGTTCTGAAGTAGCTGGGCTAATGCAGAAGTGCATACGCCATACAGTGCGCTATGAGGATGGTTTTTGACTAGACAGGGGCGCTACGGTCTACTCTTACAACTGCCATGTGTAAACGGGATCTCGGTGTTTCGTCCCACCCACTGCACCATTGACAATGCAAAATAAAAAAAATCCAATTCGTAGTAGGAAACACAATAATGTGGCTCGTCTTCAGAAACAAAAATACCAGAAGTACCACCCAAGGAAGACCATCAGCGCCACCAACACCAAAAAACACTGAAATCGCTTTTGTATATAAATCTAATGTATTGTATGTATTTTTAATAAAACTAGGAAATATCACGAACTAACTTTTCATCATTCTAGGTCAGTGCTTATGCGAGATTTAACCTCTCCCCCAAATTCTTAAACCTAACCCTAACCCTTTTTAGAAGACTGAACTTGGATCTAATTTAACGTTTACCCCTCTTAAAACGGTTAGGGTTAGGGTTCGGGTAAGTATTCCCCAAAATACTCATTTATAAAAAGTAGTTATTTCCAATAAAATTTCGTCTTTTTGGTATATAGAGTTTAGTGGTATATATATTACTTTTCGGCGAGATACGATCAGTGAAAAACGTCATAGGCAATACGATATATGTTCTATGAGGGGCACTCAGTGTTATTCTTTACATTTTATTACATATTTTGTTGACATTCATTGTTGGGTTGGGTAACATTCATTGTTACTCCGAAACGAGCCGATTGGTGACTTGGTTGCAGCACGCCCCTCCCCACCCCCACACACTTTCTGAATAACCTGGATCCGCCCCTGTCTTAGTTCACTTAACACGTTTATTTTAATTATTATGCCCATTGTGAATGATCCATGTTAAATTACCCCCATTGTTTTCTGGGATATGTGTTTGTTGGGTTGTAAACTTATCCTTATATATTGATATTGGTTACGTTTGATCTTCTTTTAAATTTTATATGGTACGAACTTGCCAAAAGGGAGCTAACCGTTAGTACCACTTCCTGTAATTTTCCTTCATTAATAAGCAGATGATTTGTCGTGTCTTATCTTTACTGTATATATTTAATCCCTATCCATCGCCAAAGTAAAATGGCAAAACAACAACAACCGGTAACACAGAATTCAACAGGTTATGAACCCAGGAGGAGAATTCCAGGGACGGTGATAAACGAAAATATGAATTGTGGGAAGTCAAATTTCGTGGGTGTAAGCGTCTCAGAAATCTCCCTTAAAGATAATACCAAGGTGAAAGACAAAATGAAGAAGCGTTTGCTGAATGTGTACATGTACTAATTGTACATGACACAATTATATGGAATACAAGTTACTTGAAAAGTTTATTTCAGCAACGTTCGACGAGGGTTCTCTCGTCTTAATCAAGCACCCTCGTCGAAAGGTCGCTGAAATAAGGCTCATGGTAGAAAAGTACTAAGAATATTACCCCATCTACCCACGGGCAAACCTAAAATAATAACCCTGTACACTGAATGGACCACACCAGTCAAGCGAGGCTCTGGATCTGTTACAGATTATAGTATTAGAGCAGAAGCTGCTCTTTGAACACGATTCCAGTCACAGCTTTGCATTTGTTGTTGCATTTCTACTCTTAAAAAATAACAAAGCTGACAATTTACTTATTGACAGTGGTGCGTCAACTCAAAGTTCTATATGTTTTAAGAAGAATTTCTCATCAGAGAAAAATGTTTTTGAATTAGCCAATGCTACTACAGCTGAAGGTGCTGTATTAGCACGAGGTGATGCCGTGGTAACACTCCATAATGTCATCAGAAACCCAATGAGGTAACCCTTCCACATGCCTTATATGTACGAACTTCCAGCCAAAATATATTTCCTGTCCGGGCTGCTACCCGAGAAGGAGCTCGTGTTGAATTTAGTGGAGATTCAGGTATTATTACTTTCGAAGAGTATGAAAATGACAATTAGATTATTCAAATAAGTTGTATTTTATCAATGAATTTAATAGTATTAGTAGTAGTACACTCAAAGAATGGCACCAAATCCTAGGACATTGTAATGCAAAGAACATTTTTGACTTACAAAATGTAATAACTGGCATTTCGATGACAAATCCAGATTCAAATATGGTCCTTAGGCAAAATGACACAAACTCGTTCTAGAATTCCAGATGTCGACGCAAAACGACCTTTTGATGTTGTAAATATTGACCTTGCATGTCCCGTCGACCCTGTACCTAGAGACGACTATAAATATGCCCTTAAGGAATATCTTGCAGATATTGGCCTTGTAGGTAATAATAAATTTGTGAGAAGTGACCAAGGTGGGGAATTTATTACAGTTTATGTCTGAGCAAAGAATGGTTCGCTGTCTCGTTATTCTAATACATATCTTTAAGTAGTACTCCCTCAAACAAATTTTTGCTCATTCTTATCGTTTAGAGTTTATCCCATCGACAATATACAAAATAAAGATTTTAGTAGTTTTATCATTCTTTAATTACTATAATATTATTATTTTTTATTATTATTATGACTATTAGATTTTAACATTTCCCCAAGACGCTTTATTCCTACTCCCAAAAGCAATACGAAAGCATGCAGTAAATAAAAAAAATTAGGAATTTTTATCATTATTACTATTAAATTTTACGTAACGTCTTTTCGCCATTTCTACGTATAGTGAGTGCACCAAAACGCATTATTCCCACTTCCAAGAGCAATACGAAAGCATGCAGTAAAAGAAAATAAAGAAAATAGGAATTTTAAAAATAGCTACTGACACATGATATTTTGCCACAAGACGCACAATTGGCTATACTGTAATATTCCAAATAATATGTCTCTACTATTAAACATATCTACATACCAGAAACAAAAGAATTAAGCGTGTTAAGTTGATCAATTAGTTATCGTTTGTGGATTAATAAACGCACATGTATTTTCATATAAAGCAAAGTACATTGATAATTATAACTTGAACGTATTGGATATACGTAAATTATTAAATTAAAATGTTTATCATATAGATTTTAAATATATAAGACAACTGCTTATATATATAGTCTTGGAACTTCCAGGTTATGTTCCAGTTGAAGATCTGTAGAACGAGCAATCTGATTAAAACACGGATCCAATTTCGTTTCGTTTTTATAGTTCAAAATTTCGATTTTACTTGTCTTTACTTCGCTTGGGTCTGGAAGACTTGTTATTTAACTCGTGTTCTGCTTGAAATGAGGGGTCAGCCAATCAAATGGTCTGTCGAATCGAGTGTTTGACCTTTTTTGCGCGGAACTGTGGGTAGACATTAGCGGCAATAGAAATCAAAACAAAGGAAAAATAGATAAAAAAAACATGGCGGTCGCTAATTGGTTAATCGAATGACTGACGTAATCGGGTCGATTGTCGGGTGCTTGGTACCTGACGTCATAGAACGTGAACTCCCACTATAACTTGTTAGATCTACATGTGGTGTAGGCCATCGAAAGTATAAAAAACGAAACGAAATATAGATCTATATTTTAATTAGATTGTAGAACCAGCAATCTGTTTCACGTTGCGTAAACCAATAATTCCAAATTAAATTAAGCTTGGTTATATAGGTTATACATACATTTTTAAAAGGAATTACATATGAGATAGCTGTCGCCGCTGCTAGCCAGACTAAAAGATTATAAAACACATATATTAGATTAGTAGCCTTCAGTAAAAGGACAATCATATTATCTAATAATATTCACCTGATGTCTAAGTAACTAACTAACTTAATTAATACCTGTCCATAACATTGTTTTACACGGTTGCCTTACGGGACTATTACATATTAAGCCTTAAAGATACATTTTCAAGAAAGTGTTTATCGAGTAGTTATTTCCAATAAAATTTTGGCAATTTTGGTATATACAGTTTGGTCGTTTATATAATCAATCAGGAATATATATATGTAACTAATTACAACAACAGTTACAGTTCAGTCGGATATATATTCTGAAAGGAATATACGTGTAACTAATTGCAACCGCAGTTACAGTTTGTTGTATTATTTGTTAAACGCGATATTTGTAGTTTCAGTTTTTCTTGCTCTAACTTGATTCGTTCTATGTCGGCAAGTAGCCATCTTTTCTTGATGTCATCAGTGGTTTCAACTGGAAAATAAAAAAGGCAATAATTAGAATATTTAAACCGAGATATTAAACGTTGTTTTATTTCAACACAGCCAATCTGATTAAAACACAGATCCTATTTAGTTTCGTTTTTATAGTTCAAAAAATCGTTTTACTTGTCTTTACTGCACTAGGATCTGGAAAAGTTGTTATATAGAGAGAAAGAGAGAGAAATGGGGTTTAACGTCCACTCGACACAAACTAGGTCATTTCGGGACTAACATATGGTTCAATTTTATTCCCGGGGGATCACGTGGCTAAGTGGGTAAGACGCTAGCTCGCTAGCCTGGAGGTTGGGTGTTCGATCCCTGCATTGGCCGAGATAGTTCATCCAGATTTTCCGGCGTGGTTCTCCCTTGTCAGTGATGCAGGACACGGGACCTCGGTTTATCGTCCCATCCGAACGACTAGACAGCTGTCCTTGTCAGGCCCTCCGTCCTGCATCCCTGACAAGGGGAAACCACGCCGGAAAATCTGGATGAACTTTCTCGGCCAATGCAGGGATCGAACACCCTCGACCTCCAGGCTAGCGAGCCAGCGTCTTACCCAATTAGCCACCGTGATCCCCCAGTTGTATATTAAAACCAGAGTAATCGGAAGTGATACAGGTTTCATCAATGTTCAACACAAATACATTCAGTTAGCATGAAATATACACATAATAATATTATTAGAGAAAAATAATGACAAAAGGGATAGGGGCCTACACAACCATCATTCACAATGACAGTGTATCAATCAATTTAATTTAATTTGTGTTTGAAAGAAGAAAATAAAAATAAAAAAAAGATAAAGAAATAATGCCATGTATTATTTCTATAAATGTTTTAATTTGTTTTAATTGTGTTGTTCTGTGTTGCTGTTGGCTCTTTTTTTTCTTTTCAGGTAATTTTTATCTGAGGAGAGTCATACGCAAGAAAAACACGAAAGAATGTCTATAACACTAAAGCGCTGAATTTGTGAACGGCATTAAAGAACTTTTTACTAACTTTTAACTATGTGGAACTTTTTGGACGAATAGTTTTTTACACACGGGTCCAGCTATGTCGTTTATACTGCTAAAAATTCCTAGCACTTCACTTTTCCACATCAAGCAAGCGGATTCTTTTTCCCCATGGTTTTTTTTCTATCTACACTGATGACGCCAAACATCCGTCAGCTGGACACCCTGTTTTAATTTGTTTTTATTATGACAAAGAGAGAAGATGACTCGCCCTCTCTTCTCACAACAGCGATTTTATAAGGTGACTTTTTGATTTATAAAGACTTTTTTTGTGTTTTTACCAATTTTTCAACCTTTTAAGTCTAAATAATTTAATTAAATCAACCTGTCCATAATATCATATTTATTGTATTGGACGTTAAATCTGTAATCAACAACAATAACATGAAATATGTATTGGTCTTAGACAGTTAGGTTTGGTTTTAAAGAAAATTAAGTATATTTAAAAGAAACGTACCCACGCCAGTAGTTGTACCTTGAGTTTTGCCATTACCAGAATCACCATCTAAAATAAAAGAAAATTCTACATCAATTTTCTGCTTGGCTCTATAATTGTAAAGGAATATAATATTGTGTAATTAATTTCGTTTTTGTATTACTTTGTAGTTAGATGTCTTGGATATCTTTAAAATATATAATGCATTACAGTTTTTGTATAGTATATACTTATTATAGAGTTCGATCAAAATATACAAGGAAGACAGATTTAAATCACACGCATTTAAATGTGGTACATGATGGAAAGGATATTTTTAAGGCAGTGTGAAGTTAGCTCGATTTTCGTTTTTCGATATTGGCGAATAACGAAAAACGAGCTACTCGTTTTTCGACATTCGCCAAAATGAAAAAACAAGGATAGCTTTTTTTATGTGAATCCACTGCTCAGGCATCCTCATTTATGATATCTTTAGTTCGTTTTGGAAAACGTATTTAATCAAATGTGTTTTGGAGACATTCTGTAGATATACATCCATCAAATTTGCTTTTTTGAGATTCAAGTTTGAATATCGAAAAACGAGTCGCCAATATTGAAAAACGAGCTAGTTGTTTTTCGTTATTCGCCAATATCGAAAAACGAGAAGCTCGTTTTTCGATATTCACCAATATCGAAAAACGAAAAACGGAAATCGAGCTAACCTCACACTGCCATTATTAATGCCAATTGTGGTTGAAAAGGGAAATTGTTGGTCGGTCGATAGCGTAACTGGTAATCATTTCTCATTTGTCTCAATGTAAGTGTTGAAATGTTAAGCTATGGAGGCAGGTAGAATATGATTTGTCTCAGTATAAGTGTTGAAATGTTAAGCTATGGAGGCAGGTAGAATATGATTTCTATTAATAACACTTCTCATGGTTTATCTGAAATCTATAAGAATCGATAAAGCATCAATCAAACTTGTTCAATTCTAGAAGAAGACGTCAAAATACAAAGTCTATTCAAATAACGACAGCAAATAAACACCCAACGTCATCAACTGACGACAGCAAGTTAACACACCACGTCGTCAAAATCAACTGAAGTAAACACACTACGTCATCACAATTGAGAATAACCAGTTCTACCAGGAGTAAATATAATAAGTTATAGTATTGTAACATACCTGTTAAGTAGATAGTTGTACTGACACTATACATTTCATTGAGATTAACCATACATCTGATTTCCAGGCCATTATAATCTTTACCAACGTAATAACTGAATGTGCTTCTGGAATAATATCCACATCGAGTTGATGTTGGAGGTTCAACCTGGCCATTTGTTATATTGGTATAAAAAAGGTCACAATGACCAGTTGTATTGGAACACCAGTTCCAGTCGTGTTCAGGATATCCAACATCTCCTTGACAAATTATATCAATCTTTTCACCAACATCATATTTCATTTTCTCTGGATATCGGGTTATTTCTATTGAACCCGGATTAACTGTACAAATTAAATTTAAGTATATAGCTTTCTTTATAATATAATACATTATATTATATCTAATGTAAATCTCAAACCCGTGTGACAAAATGCCTCGTAACTTGTATCATGTTAGAACTATGTTTTATAGATATAAAATATTTAGATGCGATGAGCCCACGAAAACCCACGTGTTACTGTCCACTTATATGTTTATTATATGGAATTCACACAGTCAGCTATACGAAGGTATAAAAGCCCCTGTGTTGTCTGTAGTTAAGAGGGGGGATCACGTGGCTAAGTGGGTAAGACGCTGGTTCGCTAGCCTGGAGTTCGGGTGTTTGATCCCTGCATTAGCCGAGAAAGTTCATCCCGATTTTCCAGCGCGGTTTCCCCTTGTCAGTGATGCAGGACGGAGAGCCTGACAAGGACAGCTGTCTAGTCGTTCGGATGGGACGAAAACCCGAGGTCCCGTGTACACATTGGCGTGTATGTAATAGATGCCTTGGCACTTGGAATTCGATATAAGAGTAGGTCGTAGTGCCGCTGTCCTGGCTAAATTTCCCTCATATGGCGTATGCCCGTCTTTATTAGCCCAGTTTAGGAGCAGAACAGTAGGCCGTTAAACCCCATTTCATTTCATTTCTGTAGTTAAGAGAGACTTGGGTAGGAGAGCGTAGATGGGCGTATGAACTCACTCGAGTTCAGCCCTTGCCGTGGCAGAGGGGAGAAATGATTGTCGTACAGATCCTATTTCGTTTCGTTTTTATAGTTCAAAATTTCGTTTTACTTGTCTTTACTACACTTGGATCTGGAAGAGTTGTTATTTAACTCGTGTTCTGAATGGTTTCAGGGATAAGCCAATAAAAGGGTCTGTTACGACGAGCTTTAGGCGTGTTTTGCACGGAACTGTGGGTAATCCACTAGTAACATCAACGCTGATTGGTTAATCAAATGTCTGACGTCATAGGTGATACGTCGATCTTTTGACCCCTGACATGACCTAACGCTATAACTTGTCAGATCTTCATGTAGTGTAGGTCATCGAAAGTATAAAAAAAAACGAAGCGAAATATAGATCTGTATTGTAATCAGATTGATTGTCGTAATAATACGGTGGTAATGTCATTGTTTATGTTCCTGATATATTTAAGTTCCTGTTTAGTTGATGAGCATAATATCCCGTGTGTAAATAAGTACTATATTTACTGATCTTTTGTAATCAATAACAGTGTTACACCCGTCTCTATATAAGTATTATATCTATTATTTCGGCTGACATAAATGCTATAAAGGGACTTTACATTGACACAATAATAGATTTTATCAATTTGAATGTCAGTGTTGCAAACAGAGGCGTATATTGATAAATGGTGCCAGTGCCAAGTGGTTCAATTGAGACGAATACCCAACAGTTTGTAGTTGGAGAAGGTTTTTCAGAAACGGGTTTGTCCAGGCAAAATGGTCATACCCCGAATTTCAGGTATGTATTGTGCTGAAGAAATATTCTACCCGATTCCATGTTTATTAACGGATCTAATACAGTACTTTATATTAAAAACGTTTAGTTATTCAGCAGACACAATAACCATATATACATGAAAAACTACCTTTTTGCCTTGTAATAACCCGGACCCTAATACGTTATCACAGTGCAATACTACGTAGATATGTTCATGGGCGTCACACATGGGGGGGTCCGACCCCCCTAATTGTTTTTCTGGGGGGGGGGGGAGGTGAATATACTTGGACCCCCCCCCCCCAAATTTCCATAGTAGGCCCTAACTCCTATTTATTTACAACAATTATTAGGATTAATTAAGATTCTATCTGTATAAAACATGTACATATCCCAATATGGTTTACATTGCGAAAATAAAACACGGAGAAAATCATCCTGGTAACATGTGTCAAGTGAAAAGTAACACTGTGGTCCATAAAATTGTGTCTAATAGCCTGTCAGTAATATTTTGTTAATTTTTTTCTGCCATGATAATCGCATGTAGGTACCCAAAAACATTATCGCCCGCTCAGCCAGCCGCGTAACCATAATGCTTTGTTTATATTTTTTAGGGATTTTAAAAAAGGGTTAGGGTTAGGGGTTAGGGTTGCGGACCCCCCCCCCCCCCCAATATATATTTCACGGCTACGCCTCTGGATATGTTAGCATCCATAATATTACAAATTTCAGCAATGTAACACAATACGCGTGAATTAATTATTTTGAACTGTCCCATTTCATCTAATCATGGGATACTGTAACATTATACACATAAAATACTTACTTCCAACTGTCACACTTTCATTGTATTGTAGCAACGCTGGATTAGTAGATATAGTAGGAGAACCACTTATTATACACTGATATTCAGTTTCAAGACGATCAGGACAATCAAGATTATTTATAATAACTTCCAAGAAGCTTTCGGTTGGTTGTTGATTTATATCATAATTACCAGTGACTGTATATTTCGGTGATATTATTCCGCTTCCAGGTCTAATCCCTCTGCCATCTATTTCTGCCATGACCGTTGGTAGTGAATTCTGTTCAAGGGAATGTTTTAGTATCCGTATATCGTATAGTGTAGTATAATAAGAGTTAGAACCAGGAGAACATCGTATGGTTAAAGATGTATAACCTATTTGTTGATAATTGGATGGTGTTATTGTGAGCCTGCCATCTGAAAGTATATATTAACTAACCAATTAGGCTTACAAAAGCCCCTCTCCTGGCTTATTCCCTATATTACTAATATAATTCTATATCTGGTGAATAACGAACAAACCGGTCCGTTGTTCATTATTCGCCAATATTAAACATCTTATTATTCAGTTAGAAAGACAGCTTGTTAAAATATATTTACCAAGACTGTGAAGTGTTATAAACCAATTAGGCTCATAAAAATCCCACTTCGGGCTTATTCTCTATAAAAATGCCTAATTATATATCTTGTAACAAAAATTAGATGATTTCTGGACTAACATTTTTTTCATTTTATTTCAGTGAGAGGAAACTGGGGACCTCGATAAAACTCACGAGATGGGAATCGTCACCACGCAACTTGACAGACCTTGTGATCTACAACACATAAACACACCACCGCATCATAAACACACCACTCTTCAAAATCTGCTGACGACAATGTGTAAACAGGCCACCAAAAAACAAGTACACCTACGACGTCATCAAATTCAGGTACAAATGGCAAGTAAACACTGATAATACGTGTTCATGAAAGAGTAAATTGTTTTGAAATATCCACTTACCTGCTAAATAGATAGTTGTACTGACACTGTCCACTTCTGAGTTATCAACTTTACATCTTATTTGCAAACCATTATCATCTTTACCAACATAATAATATTGGTAGATACTATCAGTAAAATATTCACATCCAGGTGATCTTGGTGGAATGCCCGATAGTGTTATATTTTCTGTTATTGGGTCAAAAAATAAATCACCGGATGACTTAGATTCCCAGGACACTAATTTTTCAGAATATCCAACATATCCATAACAACTAAGTTCAACCCTATCACCAACACCATACTTCATACGTTCTGGAGATCGGTCCATGTCTAGTGAACTCGATTTACCTGTACAAGTATTAGATTAAATTTTAATACATTCAGGGCCGTATGTAGGATTTATAAAGTGGGGGTGCAGCAGAGTGGTGGGGCGCCATAGCCACCACGTAAGTGATATAAGAAAGTTTGGATCAGGGCAAACGAACCCATTGGCGTGTGGGCGCCCTTAAAACCGATCGACTGATCAGTGCCTTAAGAGCATTACTGTGTGATCATAATCAAGTCTATTATTTTATAATTGAAAGATTGTCAAATTATTTTTGGGGGGATGGGGATGGGGCGCCATTTCTCGGAGCACCTTAATTTTCTAGGGGTGCAATGTACCTCACCTCCGCTAATGCAATCACACCAAAATCAAAACGTATGTGTTATTCTTGTTTCTTCTTTTATGGAAAACCAAAGAGCTCTTTATTCAGTGTTCTTAATTCTTATTTCTTCATTTAGGTTAAGTCGTATTTTGACATTTGTACACTAAAATTAACATTTGTCTCTTAAAATCAATATTTGTTTTACAAATCAGACATTTGTCGTATCAGATTTGTAAATTGTATTATTGCGTAATTTAATTGTATTTTATTATAAAGATATATAAGACTTATTTTAGAAAAAACAAATCTCGAGAAACAAATGACTAATACTCGTATATTCAGGAGCGATAGAAATTTACTTCCCGGTGGTTATACGATAACTGGAATTTCGTATTAAGACCCTTCCCTTCACTAAATAAAGTCCAACTTATATCTTCGTTAACAAGGTGCATAAATATGAATGTGCCAGAAAATATTTTAGTATTTTGTTTTATGATTCGTATTTTGACGTTGAATACCCCCACCCCATACACACACACACCAATTTAATACAGATTAACGTCATCTATATTTGATCTTTTATCAAGGTATGTAAATATAAATGTGGCAGAAAATAATTTACATTTTTGTATCAAACAATACACATACTTTCCAGCAGTATATGAACAGATACATTGAATTTTATTTTAAGATCCACATTTTGACTTTAAATATCCCCACCCCACCCTCACTTTATAAAGTTTGGCACCGTGCAACTTTGATGATCTTTTTTCCAAGGTATTTTAATATAAATGTGCCAGCAAATAGCTTGAAAGGTTTATTTACAGTTTTAGAAATGTAAATTATATTCTGACTACTTTCAATTTATTTTCATTATCGAAGGCCTGGATTAGCGATGCAGGTGATTTCTCTACTGTCAATGTGTGGGCGCTCAAAACATTTCCTATTATTGTATGGTGACTTATGTATGCCATGTTGTTTTCCACTCACCACCAGCGTCCTCTGTCGTTATAATGTTCAGGTTAGAGGAATTTGCCGAAATGCTCCTTGACATATGTTTTGTAAGATTCGTATTTGGAGATTTATATATTTCAGAATTTGTTGTTCGAGATTTGTTTTTCGTTGTATGTTTCTGATGAAATGTAAATGTATTTGTTTTGGCTTCAGAATCTTTTGTCCAGGCAAATTGTACATACCTCGAATTTTAGGCATACCCATAGAAATAAATCATTAGCGTATTGTGCTGAAGAAATGTTATACTTCATTTCATGTTTATTTAAAGAGTACTTCATAATTCATATCACAAATCTACATTCCGTTACTCAGCAGCCACAAAAACCATTGTACTGTCACGTTTTTATTTTCTTGTAATAACTCTCCGTGCAGTCTCCATGTAAAACATAAATGTTAGGATACATATAAATGTGATATTACAAATTTCAACAAAGTAAAGTTACTTTATTCAACAGGTCAAAATACTTACTTTGATATACTGTGACATTTTTATCTTCTTGTAGCAACGTTGGATCATTAGCTATAGTAGGAGATCCATGTGTTATGCACTGATATTCAGCACTATCGTCACAATTAGGATCATTTATAATAACTTGTAGGAAGCTTTCGGTTGGTTGTTGGTTTCTATCATAATTACCAGTCACTATATGGTTGTATGGTCCTAAACCCCTCCCAGGTTTAATTCCGTTCCCATCTATTTCTGCTATGGGTGTTGGTAGTGAATTCTGTACAAGGGAACGTTTTAGTATCCGTATATCGTATAGAGTAGTATACGAGTTAGAAGCAGGTGAACACCGTAATGTTAAATTTCGAGCACCAGGCTGTAGACTTTGGGATGGTGTTATTGTGAAATGAGCAGCCTTGACATCTGAAAATATATATTAACTACAGTATTGTGTGTATAATAGGTTATATCACCCAATAATACATTCTACAGTAGATATCGCTTGTGTGATATATTTCATAATCTACTGCGATATCTCCTTAGATATCGCTTTACATGAATTTGATTGGCCAGTGAAAAAGGAACTAGTGCGATAACTCGTTAGATATCGCTTTACATGAATTTGATTGTTAAGTAAAAAAGGAACTACTGCGATATCTCGTTAGATATCGCTTTACATGAATTTGATTGGTAAGTGAAAAAGGAACTACTTTTTTCATTTTAAAAAAACAGAGCATTTTTTATTACAAGTAACTTATTTCTTATTAAAAATTCGGGATTCGCCCTAACCCAGAATGATCTATCTTGCATCCGACCATTTCCTCGTTGGGTGACTCAATAACTCTTTCTAATTGAGAGAGAGAGAGAGAAATGGGGTTTAACGTCCAATCGACACAAACTAGGTCATTTCGGGACTAACAAATGGTTCAATTTTTTTATTTCAATAATTCGCTTGCGCGTAGGGGTCTTTAGCAGTGGGAGGAAACCGGAAGACCCGGAGAAAACCCACGAGGTTGGATAGGCGACCCTACTCCTTGCCACGTACAACCGGGGATTCGAAACCACGCCAGTCGACTCAATGACAGACTTTATGATACAGCGCACGCACGCTAACCATTCAGCCATCCACCCCCCTTTCTAATAGAGCTAGAATGTTCAAACTTGGTGTGAGTGCTGAGAAGAATGTACCACCAACCATGTGGAGTAAGGGGAGTTACGGTCAGACGGACTCGGGACCTAAACACTTAGAGTGGGATTGTTGAGTAAGGGGAGGTCACGATAAGACGGACCTGGCACCTAAACACTAATCCCACAACGAAGACATCTACCAATCCAGAAGCAGAAGAAAACATCTACCAAACAATATGTTTTTTACTAAATAAAGGGAAAAACTTCCCACAAAACCCAATCCATGCCCTAAGCCCGAAAATGGAAAGATTGCAAAATCATATTCTAAAAACAGGAAGCAGCTTCGGCTCTCCTATTTCTTGTCTGTGATATCACTTATGTGGAAGCAGACGTTAAAACACCACGATACTACTACTACTACTGCTCACATCATTGCTCCTTGAAACTTATGTCAGTCATTATTTCAACTTTATTCATTACAAAATATCGCATTCGTTAATTATACTGGTATGAGGCTATTTGATATTGGGTTACAATTCGATAATACTCGATAGTATTTTTTGTCATGCAAACATATTTTAAATACTCTCGTCATTGGTCTGATCAGGGTCCGAATCAGCCAAGAATCTGATCCCAATCAGTTAAGAATATGAAGCATCTTCTCTGTGATTTAGCTCATTTGCATTGAATCCGTCAATCACTAATTACACTATTCATTGTGACTAATTACACTATTTATTGTGACTAATTACACTATTTATTGTGACTAATTACACTATTTACACTATTTATTGTGACTAATTACACTATTTATTGTCTTTTTATTAAATATATGCAAACATATTTTAAACACTCGCGTCATTTAAATAATGGTCCGAATGAGCCTTGTGATCCGAATCAGCCAAAATCTAGTCCCAATCAGCCACAAATCTGGTCCCAATCAGCCAGGTCCCAATCAGCCATGGTCCCAATCAGTCGATTACCCGATGACGAACATTGTCTGCTTAGAGCAGGCAGAGATAAGCAATCTGATTGGTTGATGCTTTAGGGGCACGATAACTTTGGTAATAATGAAGTGAGAGCGATGAAACTCTGAATATAGATTCATTATATCATAACCTTGACTAAGTTCGATTGTGCGAATTTTCTGCCTTTGCTAAGGAGCGATAAGCAATTTGATTGGTCAGGACATTGGAACATAAAACCTCTTATTTTAATTGAGGTAGAATGTTTAAACCTGATGTAGATGTTCATTAGGTGAATGTCTTGACTGACTTCAATGATTAACATTTCAAGCTAAAGCTAAGCAGAGCTAATCAATTTCATTGGTCGATGCTTTGGGACAAGATAATCTTGATTCTATCTGATAGAGAGTGATGAAACTTAGTGTGTATTTTGATTGCTCGATACTTTTGAAAAAAATAAATGTGCAATTAATTGGGATTTCGGCAGGGGGACATCAAATATCAACACAAGTCGATAAATTAAAAAAAGAACAAAACTATTCTCTATATGGATTTGTTTGTAAATATGTCTAATTCAATGAGGTCTAATAAGATTGTGTTCACATTATTGCCACTTGGCCACTTGGACGCTTTTACAGCCTACACAACATTATTTTGTGAAATGTTGTATATTTCGATCGAGAGAGAGAGAGAGAGGAGAGAGAGAGAGAGATGGGATTAAATGTCCACTTGACACAAACTAGGTCATTTCGGGACTAACATATGTTCAATTTTATTTCCATAATTCGCTTGCGCGTAGGGGTCTTTAGCAGTGGGAGGAAACCGGAGGACCCGGAGAAAACCCACGAGGTTGGACAGGTGACCCTACTCCTTGACACCTTCAACCGCGGATTGGAAACCACACCAGTTCACTAAATGACAGCCTTTATGATACAGCGCGCACGTGCTAACCATTCAGCCATCCACCTCCCCTGTATATTGCGGGGTGTCATATCAAGACAAGCTGATTTTATATTTGTATAAACAACAAAAATTAATTTAACTATTCCCAGCCCATGTTATAATCCAGAAATGTTATAATTGCAGTCCCATTAACCTTAAATTGATGAGTTACGAGGGTCTAACTGATTATAGACAATGGGTCGTAGTTGAAAATTGTGATAAAGTGCCTCATGGATTTGTTGAAGGGTATATCTCTATTTGATAATTAAATTTGGTATAATGTAAGGCCCTCAAAATCAAATTATCTTCCAAAAGTAATGGTATGATAATTAGTAATTATCATTTAAAATGAAATGAAATGAAATGGGGTTTAACGTCCTACTGTTCCGCTCCTATACTGGGCTAATGAAAACGGGCATGCGCCATACAGTGTGCTATGAGGGAAATTTTGCCCGGGCAGCGGCACTATCGCCTACTCTTATATCGAATTCCAACTGCCAAGGGATCTAATACGTGCATTCTAATGTATACACGGGACCTCGGTTTTTCGTCTCATCCGAAGGACTAGACAGCTGTCCTTGTCAGACCCTCCGTTCTGCACCACTGACAAGGGGAAACCACGTCGGAAAATCAGGATGAACTTTCTCGGCCAATGCAGGGATCGAATCATTTAAAAATGTCATCTTTTTTTTATTTTGGCAAAGGTAACAGCTATTTATTTTTAGACAATCAAATTTCACTTTTGCCGTAACCCCTTTAAATCAAGATGACCGCTCCTGTGGCTTGCTGTGATTGTCATTTTGTAGAAATTGAAAATATCATTTTCTGATATATCTTGGAAGAAAGTTCATCCAGATTTTCCGGCGTGCCCCCCCCCCCCTTGTCAGTGATGCAGGACGGAGGGCCTGACAAGGACAGCTGTCTAGTCCTTCGGATGAGACGAAAAACCGAGGTCCAGTGTATACATTGGAATGCACGTAAAGGATCCCTTGGCAGTTGGAATTCGATATAAGAGTAGGCGATAGTGCCACTGCCCGGGAAAAATTTCCCTCATAGCACTCTGTATGGCGTATGCCCGTCTTCATTAGCGCAGTATAGGAGCAGAACAGTAGGACGTTAAACCCCATTTCATTTCATTTCTGTTATCTCTCGCGGTGTTTATAATGGGTATCACATTTGCCGAGAAATTTCATCGGATTTCCGACGTGGTTTCCCTTTGTCAGTGGCGCTGAACTGAGGGCCTGACAAGGACAACTGTCTAGTCGTTCGGATGAGACGAAAAACCGAGTTCCCGTGTATACATTGGAATGCACGTAAAAGATCCCTTGGCAGTTGGAATTCGATGTAAGAGTAGGCGATTGTGCCGTTGCCCGGGCAAAATTTCCATCATAGCACACTATATGGCGTATGCCCGTCTTCATTAGCCCATTGGCGTGCACGTAAAAAAGCCCTTGGCAGATGGAATTCGATATAAGAGTAGATCGTAGCAGCAATGTGCGTGTAAAATTTCCCTGATAGCACACGGCATGGCGTCTGCCCAGTCGGAGCAGAACAGAGGTACGTTAAACTCCATTTCTTTTTATTTTAATTATTTCAATGAAATGATATATGGTTTAACCTCCTACTTTTCTGCAGGATAGCTGTCAAGGGTTCGTTTTACGTGCGCGCTAACGTGTACACATCTCAATTACAAAAGGGGAACCACACTTAATAGAACATATGCGGAAGCCATATTTGTGCCACATTTGAAGCCACATTTTAAGTGCCTCATTATTTTTGGTGAATACATAAATCAACTAAAAATGCAATGTTTTCCTTCCTATGTTCACTGGACAATCATAGAACCTTAAAGAAGGTTGCCGTCATTGAGCGTCAGTGTCATACATACGTCAAGATTGGATAATATCCCAAAATTGTGGTTTACTACATTAATCTCATTAGTTATTAATACTAATTACTTTAAATCATGAATATTTATATATATTTTTTTCATCAAATTTGGTTTTAAAATAATTATTTTACGACTTGTAAGACTTAGGGGGAAATTTTCCCCAACTGCTGAAACACTGTGGGGGAATTAATTTTAGTGAATAAATTTAATGCCAAGATCAATCCTGAAATCGTTACATTTTTGCAACTATTCAATCAAAATCTGCGAAACCTGGGGGGATATATGGTTATACACCACAATTGCTACAAATGCAAAAACAAAAACTTTGTAATTTGAACCATTTTATCCAGGTAAATGCTGGTGTGACTCCGGTAAAAATTGCAAACCAAATAATTAAACAATTAAACACTAATCTAATAGTAACGACCTTACCTTGAATCACTGAAATATAAATCAGTACAAATAATACAATAATATTCCTGCTCATTATGTTCTTTGTCCACTGTTACACGTATCGTCTTATAGTCTATATGATACAGTTTACTTCATGCATGTACGGCATATACACCATCAAGTTTCTGCAGGTATCTCGATCTGTTAGCAAGGTAGCAGCTTTGGTACCGTCTAGATAAAGCGCGCAAGTGTTGTCTACCCAATGACGCTATTGAAACCTCATCTACGCATGCCCTTAACCCGTTTACGAACATCGTGATTGCAGAAGATATTAAAGTTTATTTATGGACTGCACAACTTCCTTGTCAGTAATGATAAGCAACAGACTATACTGATAACGGCGAAATGCAGGTAAAAGAGGGGAATTTAAAGGAGCTAAGCCACTTTAAGGTACGTTAACCAAGGGGTATGCAAGGTTCCCACTATCACGGTTCGTGCTACGATTTAAATCGTGGAGTAATCGTGGTGATCCTATCAGGTCGTTTCATATATTGTGGTCAGTCGTATTAATCGTCTTGGTCGTAGCGGAACGTACATGCACGTACCAGACCGTGGACTCAGTAGGGATAATCCTATCTTTACGCATCCCATCGTAGAGGAATTTCAAGGAGCTAAACCACTTTAATGTACGTTAACCATGGAATATACTGATTATTTATAACATTGTTTCAATGTTATGCTAGAGCTAAATAGATCTATTGCAGGGTAATCTTTCAGGCTTCAAAGGCTATACAAATTATCGTATATCAACTCGCATGGCCATTAGTGTTACATGTTCGAAAATTTTCAAAAAAGACTCATAAATGCGATATACTTTGCTTTCTATTCTTATATATCAAAAACATTATGTCGATTAAAAGTCGAGGGGTTGGGTGGCTAAATGGTTAGCGTGCGCGCGCTGTATCATAAAGTCTGTCATTGAGTCGACTGGTGTGTTTTCGAATCCCCGGTTGTACGTGACAAGGAGTAGGGTCGCCTGTCCAACCTCGTGGGTTTTCTCCGGGTCCTCCGGTTTCCTCCCACTGCTAAAGACCCCTACGCACAAGCGAATTATTAAAATAAAATTAAACCATATGACCTAGTTTGTGTCGAGTGGACGTTAAACCCCATCTCTCTCTCTCTCTCGATCTCGATTAAAAGTAATACAAATTCAACAGAAATTTAATTGCCTTCGGTTTCTAAACCCCGATACAAATTGTGATTTTTAATCAAAGGTTTATCTTAATCTCGTATAATGCATGTTAAATTTTAAATCATATCTTGACTTAAGGTGCTAAAAGTGGAACACACAATCTGCTAGTTCCCGCACTAGATCTACAGATGCACAATGTTCCACGAACACAGATTGCCATAGCACACAACAAATCAACATATCAAATTAAATGGGCAATTTTATTTTTGTCAAATTTAAAAGTTTAATAAACTACCATTATATGTGCCTAAGTTCCAACAATTTAATGTCCCTGCGCCACAAGACGACGCGAGCAATGCAAAAACAAAGTTTGTGTTTAACCAGAACGAAACAAAGTTTGTGCTTAACCAGAATGACACAAAGTCAACAAATAAACCCGGCCCTAACAGATTTACACTGAATTCCAGTTAAACAAATGGTCGTTTTTAAAATATCTGTTTTAACTTACAACTGTAATATTGCTCCAGGTTACTTAAACATACATTATGCAAGAGCCAAATCTGGCTATTGGGGTTTAACGTCCTACTTTTCAGATCCTATACAGGGCTACTGAAGACGGGCATACGTCAAACAGTGGGCAGTGGCACTATGACCTACTCTTATATTGAATTCCAACTGCCAAGGAATCTTTTACATGCACGCCAATGTATACACCGTACTCGGTTTGCCGTCCCATCCGAACAACTTGACAGTTCTCCGTTTCAGGCACTCCGTCCTACACCACGTCGTTCTTATTTGTAATGTAGCGGTAGATAGCAGACGATCAATACACGTATTGATACTATCTCTTCCAAACTGTGGGGCCCACAGGGAAAGTGTCCCTTGTTTAAAGGAACAGGCGAAAACCCGGATTTTTTTATTTGTACACAGGGCATTTTCAAGGGATTTAAATTGGTGGTGCTGTGAGTGAAAGGTGGGCCTTGTTAGGGGATGCTTGCTCTCTCCTATGAAAAATAGTTTTGGGTGCACAGATTGGCCTGAGAGAGAAAGAGAAATGAATGGGGTTTAACGTCCACTCGACACAAACTAGGTCATTTCAGGACTAACATATGGCTCAATTTTATTTCAATACTTCGCTTGCGTGCAGGGGTCTTTAGCGGTGGAAGGAAACCCACGAGGTAGGAAGGCGACCATACTCTTGGCAAGTACAACTGGGATATCGAAACAACGACAGATGACTCATTGACATACCTTATGATACAACGCGCTAAGCACTCGGCCATACACCCCCCTCCCTCCCAATAAAATAAAACCAAGTACGAACAATCCAAACGGTTAGACAACATTCGAAGTCCTAAAAAAAAACGTTACAGGTAAAATAGTGTAATCAGGAAATGGACTGTTCACCGTGGTAATACAGGTGTTTAATACCATAGAATGAATTCAACTGCAAGTTTTTCTCATTCACAACTTATGCATTAATAATCAAGAGATAGAGAGAGAGAAATGTGGTTTAACGTCCACTCGACACAAACTAGGTCATTTCGGGACTAACATATGGTTTTATTTTGTTTACATAATTCGCTTGCGCGTAGGGGTCTTTAGCAGTGGGAGGAAACCGGAGGTCCCGGAGAAAACCCACGAGGTTGGACAGGTGACATTAATAATCAAATATCCATACATAAACAACAGGGGGAGTTAGTTACCATCTTTTTGATCTTTACCATCTTTAATATCTGCGTATATGGAATGTTTCCGATAGCAATTAACTAAACATACAGCTACCCATAGAGATGAAGAAGTCAGTACGTCATTTTCACTCCAGATCATGGTGTAATCACATGTGTGACAACGTGATCTATACCTTTCATCAAATTTAACGATCATTTAGGTGCATAGAACTTTATGACCTCTGCTGGGCTTTGATAATATATGCTATTGACGTTTCAACTCTGTATAAACTTATGTTAATGCACGAACTTGCTATGATTTAATTAAACATGTAATTAATTCAATATGCCCTTTATAAGCTACACGTGATCGGTGTATAACACTCGGCAGAACCTCAAAGAGAATGTAGTAGTGGTCAGTGCATCATACCATGACATGATAATGACTTCAAAGGGAATGCGCAGTGCAGTTACCATAATCTATTAAACAATACCATATATGATGATCACTTTTGTCCCATTTTCCCTAATTGTTGGACGTTATATAAGCAGGAGTTTACTGACAGTAAGTCAGACTTGGAATAGAGCTCCCCTCTAATTATGTCTATTTCATGTTCTTAATAAAGGTCTTATCAATTATGCTGATCTTCTGTTATCTGTAGTGTTACACATGTCTGGCCATGCATGTGCAGATAGTGACTATATAGTATATCTACAGTATGTAATATTCATATTCCATGCAAATTTAGTAGTATTCAATCTTCCTGAACTATGGCGAAAGTACCTCGTCTCAAATAGGTTTTTTTTTTGGTTAAAAACAAATCTTTCATATTCGCTTGATAGCCTTAAAGATACATTATGGGAGATAAGATAAAGAGATGGCATTTCTCGCTATAATAGTTAAAAACTAAATAGTGTAAAGGTAGTTTGCTGAAAATTTCAGTCCAAATTGACCCACTATGAGCCGAGAAAGAAGCCGTTGAAATTTTTGCATAGTCTCGGTTATCATTACTAAAATCATTAATATAAACAGCATAGTCTCGATAATCCACTTTTTCTGATTTAATTATCTTTGGCCGTTAGCGGCATATAGGAATCTAATCCAGCCTACATCGAAGGCTAGCCTTGACATCGAGAGTTTATTATGGTGTGGATAAGTTAATTAATGTCTAATTGATAATTTAGATAACATTTCAGGCCTAAAGAAAGACTTGTAATAAGCAGATTTTGCTATTGCATAATGTATGTTTAAGTCGTGTATAATTTTGCAGGTATCAGACCACGGTTATTAAGATCTTTATTTAGGAGCAGATCATCTTTCAGTTTATTGACTGACATGACTATCGTATAGATTTATTGACTGACATTACTATTATAAACTTGATACATCTATTGTTCACCTGCTCATTTAAAGAAGAACCACCAGAAGAGACATTAAAGTCTCCATGTATCATGGCAGGATAATAAAACTGTTGAAGTGTAGGGTGTAGAATTATTGAAAAATTCAAAAAATGTGATATTTGTTCCAACTATAATCCAGCAAAGGTCAGTGCTATATTTACGATGGGGTTATTCGCCAAGCAGACATCAAAGATGTTGATATTGCCACCAAAACATATACTTCTAAATTTGTTAACTTCCATTCCCTCGGTGGACTTGCCAACTTACACCATTATCTCATGCTATGATCAGTAATTTTCTTTAGCTTACTGAGACTATACTGGTAACGATAACAGAAATGAAGTGAAATGGGGTTTAACGTCCTACTTTTCTGCTCCTAAACTGGACTAATGAAGACGAACATACGCCATACAGTGTGCTATATGGGAAATTTTGCCCAGGCAGTGGCGCTACGGCCTACTCTTATATTGAATTCCAACTGCCAAGGGATCTTTTACGTTCACGCCTATGTGTACGTACACGGGACCTCGGTTTTTCGCCCCATCCGAACGACTAGACAGCCAGTTCCTATCCCTTCCTATATAGCTGCAATATGAAAATATCGATCATCCCCACCTCTGGTCTACGGTTATTTTGGAATCATTAGCGACTATTTTTCACCGTGATTCTTCTTTATTTGCCACGGGAATCATTTCTTGCCACGGCTGACACACTTTTATAATAATTCAACAACGGATTGGACGAAAAACCAAGGACCTGTTTACACATTGGTCCGTCTTCATTAGCCCAGTCGGAGCAGAACAGTAGGACGGCAAACCGCATTTCATTTAATTAATGTTGCTGATTAATTTCTTCACCAAGCCTTCTCATTGTAAATAGCATCCGAGATAACAGGGAAGACGATATCGCGAAATATTCCAGGAAATACTCCGACTCAAAAACTGCTTGCTATTTCTTCCAATTTTTAATTTATTTGGTGAAAACTTTGTGACATACCTGAAATTGTCATCCTGTTCCTTTCTTTTTAGAGTCGTAACGCCTAGTTCAGTAGAATTATTCTTTTGTAAATGTCACATATTTCGACATTGTCCAAATCTCGGAACATACACATTACGACTCGGTCTGCCGAAAATTGAAGACATGCATATCGCGGAAAGGGTAGACAGGGATCTACCAATCGGGTGCTTTCGATTAGAAATATTGAGTGGGCTAATTTACCTGTTGGTTTTGCTTTACGGCAAAAATACTTATTAGGGTTTCAAACCGTGAAGCTTTTGTAAAATAACAATTGTTTTTGTTCGGATTAATATTATTATAGGTTTTGTTTCCACTTTTCTTATTGAACTACTCTATTTTTGAGATCAAAGTTACTGATCACCTGTAAATAGGTATCACATCAACAGGTGCTTCCTCATTTACCCAACTTTAAAGGCACTATCATTATAATAGTAAGTACAGTATTAAAGATACAGTATATAAGTATTGATGAGTCCAGGGGAAGAACGATCCAGTCACATTTTTGGTCTTTTCGCATAAAAGGCAAAACAGACTTTTGGACGAGAATGCTTGACGCGAACAGAACAACGAGTGGGTTTAATTACAACTTCAAAATGATGTTTAAAATGAATCATAATTACCAGTACAACAACTAACTTCCACTTTTCAGTCAAATTAAGATCAAATAAAGGGTACGATGGACGTATTTGTCTGGGAGGCCATTTCAGAAGGGCCTTGGTTCGATGTGACTCCGATCGTTTTTACCTGAAATTAATTGTTTCACAGAAAGCTCATGCAATTTGCTACAAGAAGGTGCTCTTAATATATAAAAAAATTCTCTCCCTTTGGCGATAATGTTTAGCGTGTAAACTGATCGAATAATAATTATCCGATTGACACAGAATTAACTGCTATGATACAGAACAACATTATTGATACTAAAATCCATATATAATTGTGAATGTCTGCCATTTCCGAGAAATAGGCAATCTTGTGGGAGTCACTTTTCAAAAGAATAAAATAGTGGTCGATGTTTCAGTAGTAAGGGAAGTGACGTCAGTTAAGGGTACTGGGCACCGGTGAAACCCGTTATGACTGTATCGCAGTGATGGTTTTTATTATTTTCTGAGCTGTTTCTAAACATTTCTTGCACAATAAATACATAGCAATATATATATATATATTGGTGAAAGGTATTCTAATATTTCTCACGGTTTATTGACTCATAAATATTCATGGTAATGCACTGCCCACATAACACTTGGCATGGTAACCTTTGGGGTACACTATGAATTCTGTACAATATATTATCCTACATTTTTGCTTGGCTGACAAGGGAACTAATTTTCTCGGCCAACACAGGGATCGAACTACATATGTAATAAGTTTGACAATTAAATATTCCCCTCGGTCGGGCAAACTGTGATCTGAGAACCCGCTTCATTACGGACTGGATATGCAAGATCAAGATATGACATATAAATACTCCGTCGCCAGCTTATCACGTTCTAGTATATTGTCTACAAGTTAAGAAGTAAGTTTTAATTTATCATCGCCTCTGAGTTGGACTCATCAGTCATCCCGAATTGTATAGTTATATTGCCTCGTGCCACTTTATATCGATTTAAGATAACGTTGTATTCTTCTGGGCTGAAAACAACCACTTTAACATCAAAGCACGCTGAAACAAATCAAAGCGAAACCAACATCCACGGTCCTCTTGGGCTTTTCCGGAGAGGTAAATGAAATGAAATGAAATGAAATGGGGTTTAACGTCCTACTGTTCTGCTCCTAACCTGGGCTAATGAAGACGGGCATACGCCATACAGTGTGCTATGAGGGAAATTTTGCCCGGACAGCGGCACTACGGCCTACTCTTATATCGAATTCCAACTGCCAAGGGATCTTTTACGTGCACGCCAATGTGTACACGGGACCTCGGTTTTTCGCCCCATCCAAACGACTAGACAGCTTTCCTTGTCAGCCCCTCCGTCCTGCATCACTGACAAGGGAGAACCACGCCGGAAAATCTGGATGAACTTTCTCGGCCAATGCAGTGCGCGAAATAAGTAAAGGGATGCCCACGCATGTTTTAGGCATTTTATTATTAGTATTATTACTACAGCATATTTATAGTGCGGCCTTTGACATCACGTGTTTAGGGGCACTTTACAAAGTGACAATATAATCTTAAAACCAAAATTATGGACATGTTAAAAAAAGTTGTAGATACAGAGTCAGTTAAAAGTTTGTTTAAATAAATGTGTTTTAAGTTGTTTTTTAAAAGAATTTAGAGATGTACGTACAACATCTTAAACTAAAGGAGAGAGGGAGAGAGAGAGATAGAGAGAGAGAGAGAGAGAGAGAGAGAGAGAAATGGGGCTTAACGCCCACTCGACACAAACCAGGTCATTTCAGGACTAACATATGATTCAATTTTATTTCCATAATTCGCTTGCGCGTAGGGGTCGTTAGCAGTGGGAGGAAACCGGAGGGCCCGGAGAAAACCCACGAGGTTGGACAGGCAACCCTACTCCTTGTCACGTACAACCGGGGACTCGAAACCACGCCAGTTGACTCAATGACAGACTTTATGATACAGCGAGAACGTGCTAACCATTCAGCCATCCAACCCCCCAAAAACTAAAAGGTAGTTTATTCCATAAAACAGGGGCTTGAAAACTAAAGGAGCACTGGCCAGAAGAAACTAGGCTTTAAATGTAGTTTATCTGATGTAAGTAATGTTCGATCAGGTGTATAAAGTTCTAAAAGATCTGAGAGGTAAACAGGAGCTAAATTTTTAAACATTTAAAAGTATGCAATAAGATCTTAGAATCAATTCGATATTTTTATTCAAAAGAAATTCGAGAATAAATTTGCGAGTTCAGCATTATGACCCAATAATGAATTTACAACTTAATACAGATCTTTGTGTCTGTTCTCACCAATTTCTAATTTATCAGAGTAAAATTTAATTAAGCGTCTTCAATTAATTTATTCACATTGTTTTTTAAAGATTTATAAATCTGTTTATGGCCATGTTCAGCCTTGTTAGGTTCCCTTTTTGCTTCTAAAATAGCGTCATTAAACCACTGCGTGTTGGGATGAATAGTAAATGTTTTCGTATTATGGGGCAAAAGTGAGTCCAAAATTTCAGCAAGTTTAGAGTGATGCCGGGTTGCTTTCTCTTGTATGTCTTAAATACGTTGAACCTCATTGGAATCTTGAGTTGATGATTTGTGTTTTATTTTATTAATGTCAAGTGATTTAAACCCTCTTATATATTTTACAGTCTTTCTTTTCGGTTGTTATTTCTGGATATTAAGATTAAAACTATCCGAAAAATGATCCGATATTAATTTGTCCAAGGCACACAGATTATCCCATTGAAGATCACATAAATTAGTTATTTCAAAAATGACAAGACCGAGAATATGTCAACCGTTACGAGGTGAAGAGGAAACATGTTGTATGAAAGATATTTTATTCAACATTTCACAAAAATCAACCGCGGTAGAGTCACTGGAATCATCAACATGAAAATTAAAATCCCCCACATAAAAATGCAGCACTTTGTCATAAACAACTTATCCAGACATAATCCAATTTCTTCCATAAATTTTTGACACAATTTGCTACTGGCCGGCTGTTAAATTACTAGTATAATAATCCTAGTTTCCTTGAAAGAAAACTGCCAAAATTTTGAAAGAATAAAAACGTTCATGGCGGATTTTCTTAGACTTAAAAGATGACTTAAATATAAGTGCTACACCTCCGCCACGTGAACCTCTAGAATATCCATCGGGTACTAAAGCTACGATTTTTAATGAATCCGAACATTCATTATTCAGCCACGTTTCAGTTATCCCACAAACATCAATCATATAATATGCGTGTGTACTTTCCACAAATACCTCTGGGATTCTATTAACTGTTGCTGCATGGTGTGGGTCTCCTGCACTTGCTATTATAGGGTCATGTAACTAGTTCCTTGTTGAAACACGTATCAGTATCTTACTGAGACACGTATCAGTATCTTATTGAGGCACATGCCCTGTTCTGGCAAATTTCATCAGTTTAGCAGCCTCATAATTCTTCATGTTGAAATCGCTCTTAAGACTCTCTTCGTCTAGTTCCAATAACAAATCCCCGTCCATTTGAACTTCTTTAAAACATTTAGCATATTTACCCAGTTTTAATGTTTCTAGATTTTCCGCTAGATCCTGGATGCTGAAGCCTTTAACGTAATCCGATCTTTGTAAAAACGGGATTTGGGACGATTTGACGGCATCTTGACCTCTTTTGTCTACCTGGCCACCATTGTTATTGGGTTGGGTAGGGTAAGACACACCCGGTCGATATGTTCGCGCAGGAAGGGGAGGAGGGGATGTTGCGACATCCTCTTGTTGTGGGGTAAGTTTTGAATACACCTGTCTGTCACCTGTCGCGTTAAGCTGCGCGTATGTTGACTGTATCTGCTTCTGTTCAATACGATCACGAAGCTCTTTGACGCATGACATTGTTGTGGGATCTGTTCGTTTCTCGTTAGTAGCACGGTATTTGATGAAATGATTCGGTTCGATGTAGTCGTAGACATTTTCTGTTGATTTCGAGATAATGTCAGGTGAATAAACAGCAATATCTGAAAAATAAACATATTAATAATGTAATGATAAAATCTGAAATGCGGAAATGAAATGAAATGAAATTTGGTTTAACGTTCGACTTGTCATTGAAAATCAATTCCAAGGCTTCTGTTTACGTGCAAGTCAACGGGTAGGCTACATGGGACTCCAGGAATGCGACTAACAAGATGAATGAACGCTGGAAAATTCTGAGGAACGTTCACAACCGACACCAGGGGCCTGTTGCACGAAATTTTAACTAAGATAAAATCTAAAGTTTAGTAATTTGATTGGATAATATTAGACTGATTGTAGTGCTTAGCCAATCAAAATTGAAGTATCTACTAAAATTTGGATTTTATCTTTAGTTAAAATTTCGTGAAACAGGACACCAGGATCGCACTCTGGACTTTCGTGTTATTGATCCAGTGCCTTGCTGGGCTACTCACACACCCGACTGGACCTCGAAACTCTAGACCTCCATACTAGTGATCCAGTGCCCTGCTGTTCTCCACCAACTGACCTACTCACACACCCAACTGAGCGTCGAAATTCTGAACTTGCATGTTAGTGATGCACTGTCAAAACAGAACTAAAACCGGATTTAACATCCCACTGTTCTGCACCGACTGGGCTAATGAAGACGGGCATTTGCCCCGTCAGCGGCAACACGAACTACTCTTGAATTCAAACTGGCAAGAGTTCTTTTTATTTGCACGTCAATGTGTACACGAGACTTTGGTTCTTTGTACCATCCGTACGACTATACGTTGTCCCTTATCAGGTCACCCACCCCGTGTAGGAACCGCGCTGTAAAGTCAGATGAATTTTTTTGCTCATGACAAGGATGGCACATGGGGAAACTCGGAAATGAAGAAAAGAAATTCCATTTACCTGGATTTCCACCAGTCAAATCGTACATAATACCGTTCGCTACCTTGTTCATGTTCCGTTGAATAGCTGTGAATACAGACCGCGGTTGACCTTTTATACCAGATACCACAGACACGTTAACAGTCCGTAAGTAGATCGGGACAAATAGTAGCCTTTCATCTAAATGACCTATAATACAATCAAACACGGATAAGGTAGATCGTGCTTATCCATCTATAATATAATCTAACAATGTATAGGCGGGTCGTGTTTCATCTAATTCACCTATAATATAATCTAACACTGTATAGGTACCTGCTTCATCTAATCCACCTATGATATAATCTAAAACGGTCTAGGTAGGTACTGCTTCAACTAGTCCACCAATAATATATTCTAACACTGTCTTAGAGCTCGTGCTTCGTCTAATCTACATTAATATAATCTAACACTGTATAGATATATCGTACTATAATATTAGCTAACACTGTATAGGTAGGTACTGCTTCATCTAGTCCACCTATAATATAATCTAACACTGTATAGGTAGGTACCGCTTTATTATATCCACCTATAATATAATCTAACACTGTATAGGTACTGCTTCATCTAATAACCCTATAATAAAATCTAGCACTGTCTAGGTAGGTCGTGCTTCATATAATGCATGCGAGAGATTTCTGTAAAATTTGAAAACATTAACTGACTTGCATTGATACTATTAGCTAATAGATATACTGACCTTCATTGATGCTATTAGCTAATAGATATACTGACCTTCATTGATACTATTAGCTAGTAGATATACTGACCTTCATTGATATTATTAGCTAATAGATATACTGACCTTCATTGATACTGTTAGCTAGTAGATATACTGACCTTCATTGATACTATTAGCTAATAGATATACTGACCTTCATTGATACTATTAGCTAATAGATATACTGACCTTCATTGATACTGTTGGCTAATAGATATACTGACCTTCATTGATACTGTTAGCTAATAGATATACTGACCTTCATTGATACTGTTAGCTAATAGATATACTGACCTTTATTGATACTGTTAGCTAATAGATATACTGACCTTCATTGATACTGTTAGCTAATAGATATACTGACCTTCATTGATACTGTTAGCTAGTAGATATGTTTCATCGTAGATGTCTGTAAGATTCAATTTACCGAACACGTCTATCCCTTGTATTGCCTTGCCAATCTGTAACGAGTATCCATCAGGTGGTGTACAAAGTTCTATGCTAATCGGCAAGTTGTTCGTCTCGACTATTTTACGTAGACTCTCTCCTCGACCAGCTGAAACATACAGATCATGCGCCTTTCAATCTGATTAAAATACAGTTCTATATTTCGTTTCGTTTTTTTTTTATACTTTTGATGGCCGACAAGTAAAACTAAATTTTGAACTATAAAATACTTTAAGATACTTTTATAGGGAATTCGCATGGAGTGGGGTTCCTATGAGCCTTATCGGTTATAACACTTCTAACAAGCTGTCTTTCTACCTGAATAACGAACTGTCCCTATTGGTGAATAACGAACTGTTCCTATTGGTGAATAACGAACTGTTTCCTATTGGTCAATAACGAACAACAAACTTGATTGTATGATTTTAAATAATAATATTCATTGATTTTACCTTTCTTTTTCATTTTTGCAGTAACTGGATAATCTACAGGAATACTAAGATGGCGCCCGTGTGTATCCTTAGCAACCACTCGGCGTTGTTTAGAATAGGAATGAATCCTCATCGTCTTAGAAAAGAAATAATCGTGTTGAAAGTTGAAAGATCTTAAGTATATTTATCTATTTTTGAAATTATATCGAGATTTGTCGTCTCTTTAACAAAACCGTACATTAATACATCTTCAAATGATCAGTCTTAGAAAAGAAATAATCGTGATCAAAGTTGAACGATCTTAAGCATATTTATCTATTTTTGAACTATTATAGCGAGATTTGTCGTCTCTTTAAAGTTACAATTTCATATTTTCTAAGAAAGTCAAAACATAATTATTTCTATGTCTTTTGCTCAATAGGTTGTCAACTCACTATTATACGATCATAGGTGTCATTCTCACACTTAAAACTCATTTACACCGGAAATAATAACACAATTACCTCCCAATTACCTCCCATGTTTTCTATTCTCCACCATGGAGTAGTTATCTTCAAACGTTGGAATTTGAAGATGAAAATGATATTTTTGCCAATTTCTCAACTGGCAATAGTGAATTATAGGATTAATAGAATTATTCTTTAACAAGGTAGGACGATTTATAGATACCATCTATTTTAAGGCTTTATTTCAATAAATTTTAAAAATATAACTTAAAAATATGAAATTGCAATTTTAACAAAATCCTACATAATGCATCTTTAAATTATCAGAGTGCAAAGTTGACAGATCTTAAAGGGACAATAACACTCTTGCTGGCTTGACAGCTCCAAAAAATAAAAAAATAGTCTTATTCTAAGTACTAGATGTGTTAGTGTCCTACCTGTTGTGTAAATTATCCATTAAATCCTATTTTACTTGTCCAGAGGGTTCAAAAATATTTTTAAATCCAAATCACACTCGAAAAGCTTTACGTCAGGCTTTTCAAATCATTTAGTTGAATTTTTTCAATTTTTTTAAATTAGGTGTGTTAAGATGAAATTTGTATCATCAATTAATTGGAATATTGTAAAATAGTGCGATTTGTTGACCAGAATAAAGATTGGGACATATTATTCAGTTACAACAAGAGTGGTATTGAGCCTTTAAGCACATATCGTCGGTGAAGTGTCAAAAGGGTGTAACTCGGGAAATTAGTCAAATACACCTTTTGCATTTTTAAAATCTCCCGATTAATATGCACATTTCTTTCTAAGCTGTGTATAATCAGAACTGTTCTGGTTATCATGTGTCCAAATTTTGTATCTTGATTTTGAAATTCAAGAGGTTCTATTTCTTAATCTTTAGAAATTCTTAGATACACCCGTTTGACACTTCACACCCTATGATGACCAGACAAGACATAACCATGTTCAGAGTTGAGAGATCTTAAAGTAGCTAAGTCTCTAACTCAATATCATCCAAAATCTTTAACTTTCAAAACACGAATTATTAGTCAATTTAAATCAAGGTTGATGCTGTGATCTTATCGGAAAAAGATGGGCCTCTGATATCCAATATTTAAGACAAAATAAACATTTTACCATTGGTACACGATGCGTTTCAGCCCCTGTTGTAACAAGAGACTCGAGGAACGAGGCTAGACACATTGCACCAAATCAAACGGCGTCGCCATATTCTTATCTGGAGACCATGCGCAATAAATACTATGTAGACTGGAAAATAACCAGACGCTAGAAATTTGCATTCGATTGAGACTGCTGGCTTATTTCGCCGAACATAACTGATTTATGTTAAGAGTAAAAACGGAAACCATTGAATGTAAATCAGTTTATATACATCCATATTACAGTATTATATGCGTTGCGACCCAATTGTGTCAATTTCTAGGTCCCAAATGTTAGCGATTTAGCTCCGTTAAGCATATTTAGCAAAATCACAGACCGGGCAGCTTTCTAAGAGAGTACAATAATTGTAAAGTGATACGCGGCACTAGCCGTAAGTAATATTTCCACACCGTTTTCAACATAATTGTTCTTCTATTTATCTCAACTCTTTATCTAAATCTTAAATAATGGATCTTTAAATTATCAATCATAATCAATCTGAGTGCAGATGGAGTAAAATATAAGTGACTATTTTCTCCTTGCTGTTGAATTACATATGTGAATAATACTCACGTGACCAGTAGAATACGTATCTATATCAACATCACCATAGTAACCCTGTGTCACCTGTATTATAACAGGCAAACGCTGGCCAAATTGCTCATAAACATTTCGTATTGACAACGAGGCGCTGTTTAATTCAAATTCTATTTCAGTCGCCATCTCGGTTATTCCGTGTTTGGATAAATGACCCCTTTGTCACTGCTGTTGAATCCTGGGAATTAAAATGCAATGTAGGAATGAAAGAATAAATTGAAAATCAACGGCCAAATAAATCCAATTTCATGAACCAGACTTATTTCAGATTTTAATTTCCTACTCCGGGGAAGCTGTAATAATAAAGGTATCATCATAAAATATGATTGGACGATTTACCCAATACTACCCAATAATACCCAATACCGCCCCAATACCGCCCCAATATCATCACATGCTACCCATTACTACAACATTATGATGCAAAATAGACATATCATTTGTTTTGTTTTTTTCAAAAATAGAGAGTTAAATCGCGGGAAATGTACATTAAATGCGATTATCGATGTCTGTTTGCCCAATTGATCTCCCAATATCACACAAAACAAGCAAATGATAACCCAATACTACCAAAAAGAAACCCAATATCGTCAAAATCTCGATGAACTTTCTCGGCCAATGCAGGGATCGAACACGCGACTTTCAGGCTAGTGAGCCAACGTCTTACCCACTAAGCCACCGTGGCTCCCTTTATTTGGAATCAATCCCCCGTGTCCATATAGTTCATATCAAAAACGAATTCAAAATTACTGTGCGTTTTGTTTCTATTCTATATTGGGGGGTTGGATTGCTGAATGGTTAGCACGTGCGCGCTGTATCATAAGGTCTGTCATTGAGTCGACTGGCGTGGTTTCGAATCCCCGGTTGTACGTGACAAGGAGTAGGGTCGCCTGCTCAACCTCGTGGGTTTTCTCCGTGTCCTCCGGTTTCCTCCCACTGCTAAAGACCCCTACACGCAAGCGAATCATTGAAATAAAATTAAACCATATGTTATTCCCGAAATGACCTAGTTTGTGTCGAGTGGACGTTAACCACCCTCTCTCTCTCTCTCTCTCTTTCCCCCTCTCTCTCTTTTTTCTCTCCCCCTCTCTCTCTTCCTCTCCCTCTCTCTCTCTCCCCCCTCTCTCTCTGTATTATATCCTTCGGATGAGACTAAAAACCGAGGTCCCGTGTATACATTGGAATGCACGTAAAAGATCCCTTGGCAGTTGGAATTCGATATAAGAGTAGGCGATAGCGCCGCTGCCCGGGCAAAATTTCCCTCATAGCACACTGTATGGCGTATGCCCGTCTTCATTAGCCCAGTATAGGAGCAGAACAGTAGGACGTTAAACCCCATTTCATTTCATTTCATTTTCTCTGTATTATACGCTGCTGTATGTTAATTATCTGTGCGTTTTGTGTCTATTCTATATGTTTGTATTATATACGTTCCTGTATGTGTACTAGGCATATATCTGTTTTATTTGTATCGTTTGTTAATTATCTGTTTTATTTGTATCTGTATGTGTACTAGGCATATATCTGTTTTATCGTTTGTTTTGTTGTTAATTATCTGCTTGGCATGTGTATTGATGGTAAGTGATCTATATGTGTACTAGGCATCTAACTGTTTTATCGTTTGTTTTGTTGTTAATTATCTGCTTGGCATGTGTATAGTTGGTAAGTGATCTATACAGCTGGAGAGCCGCGGTGGCTCAGTGAGCAAAACGCGTGCTCGATAACAGCAATCTCTATTTTGGCCGAGATGCTCGTAGTTTCGTATTGACGTGCACGTAGAAGAACAGTTAACAGTTGGAATTTGAAATAATGGTCAATGGTGCATGACAGCTGTCTAGTCGTCGGATGGGACGAAAAATCGAGGGTTAGTGTGCAGGTAAGAGAACCATTGACAGTTGGAATTTGAAATGAGAGTAGGTTGTGGAGTGGCTGTCCGGGTAACGTTTCTCCTCATAGCACATTGTATGCTATAATGCCCGTCTTCATTTCCCTCATAGCACATTGTATGCTATAATGCCTGTCCTCATTTCTGTCATAGCACATTGTATGCTATAATGCCTGTCCTCATTTCCCTCATAGCACATTGTATGCTATAATGCCCGTCTTCATTTCCCTCATAGCACATTGTATGCTATAATGACGATCTTCATGAGAAAAGTAGGACGTTCAACTCAATTTGATTTCATTTCATTTGTTACACAGCTCGGGACCTCAAAACCCACTTTCAAAAGAAGGACGGAGGCCACAGTGGCTCAGTGAGTAAGACATTAGCTTGCTAACCCGGAGGTCCTGTGCTCGAGCCCTAGCCGAAAAAGTTCATCATCAACTTCGTTTTTTTAAACAGAAAGACTGTTTTTTTCTCACAAGAATATAATACAACAATAGAATAACATCAATATTGCTTGGAGTAGGGTCACCTGTCCAACCTCGTGGGTTTTCTCCGGGTCCTCCGACTGCTAAAGATCCCTAAGCACAAGCGAATTATTGAAATAAATTGTGTCGAGTGGACGTTAAACCCCATTTCTCTCTCTCTCTCCAATATTGCTTGTGTATTGGAAATGAAATGAAATGTTCTGCTCCGAACTGTTCTAATGAAGACGGGCATACACCATACAGTGTGCTATGAGGGAAATTTTGCCCGGACAGCGGCACTATGGTCATGGAGTCCTCCATCTCAGACGATGCCGACGTTAGTGTCTTCTGCGACGAAGAACCCGTAGTGGTGTATACGCAGGTAGAAGCTGGTTCCTCCCGTGGCAAGTCCAAGTTGTTTGACAACCAAGGGTTTAGTTATACAATTAAGGTAGGGTGATTTATTTTACCTAGTTAACTACCTTGTATAGAAATGTATTTCAGCTACAAAATGTAAAGATAATTAACTCTAGTTAACCTAGTTAACTCTATAATAATAAATGAATTTAATAAATTTTAGACAGAGAAGAAAACTACGATTTGGAGGTGTTCCAAAAGAAGCGGACCAACACGATGTCCGGCAACAGTAATCCAAGATGGTGATACATACCAACCAGGCTTAAAGAACCATCTTCACCCAGCAGAACCCGGTATACACACGGCTACCAAGATAAAAGTTAGAGTAGGTTTAAAAATTATATATCAATTAAATTAAAAATTTATATATGTGTGTAAATAAATAAAATATAAATAAACCAATAATATATTTGTAGTTTAATATGTTTTATCTTATCATTACAGGCAAAGCATGAAGCCAAAGGAAATGTTTTTACCAAGTCATGTTCCTCAATAGCGGAGAGAGTTTTATCCAGTGTCGGTTCTGCAGAAGAACCCATTCATAGCAGACCACCCATGGCAGCACTTGTAAGGTCGCTACAAAGAACCCGACAGACTCTGCGACCAAAAGATCCCACTGACGTGTCGTCAAGCGTAAGTATTCATGCAATTAAATACCCATGTATATAAGAATTTATTAACATGTAATTAAATGTACAATTTTATTTATTTATTAACATGTAATTAAATGTACTTTTTTATTTATTTTTTGTTTTAGCTTGACGAAGATTTCATCGATCATAGTGCACCGGGATTTTATCAAAAAAGAGTAAAAGTTGGGGAAAGGCGCCATCACATTTTTTGTACTCTTAGACAGATGCAACTACTCGCACGCGCAAAAACTTGGTATATGGATGCAACTTTTCGGGTGGTGAACAAGCCATGGTCTCAGCTGTTTACCATCCACGCCTTCATTAAGACTGGAGAGACCACCCGACAGTTACCATTGGTGTTTTGTGTAATGTCGGGTAAAAGCCAAGACGACTATTATAAGGTAAATAGCACTTACTGATTGAATTACTATTAATAGTAAAAAAAGGACTATTATTTGGGACCTTGAAATTGTCACAAATGGGTCGCACTAACAGCGACATTTGTTTCAGGCATATTTGTTTCATCGGTGACACGTCTGGTGTCATGTGAATGCAACGACAACAGCCTGGTTAATTGATTTGTTGATTGGAGTTCAGATGTCTACATTAAAATCGACCACGGCCAGGCAAGACCGACTTGAAATTTCTAGAAATTTTTCTGGGGGAGACAGGCCCAACAAATCCCCCGACGGTGCGTTTCACGACTTTGGCGCAAGACGGTGACCTTGAAGAGACGTCGAAAACCATTTAATAGACATAGTAAAAGTCATATCTTACGAGATTATCGCTGGTCTTGTCAGAAAATGCTATTTTATATATGAACCAGTTTGTGTTTGAAAAGTTTAAAAAGAAATTATTTATTCTCCCACCATTAAAGCACACTAATTACGAAATGTCGCTCTCAGAAACTTCATGGTTTCTTTTGCAATTTGTTTGGGGTAAGACGTTATATAAATAATATCAATCTGTTTACCACACAAA